TTCTGCTATTTCCAACCTTGGAATAAAAATAGACCCGGTTCTGAAGATGGATGCTCAGGTCAATAGCACAGTCAGGTCCTGCTTTTACCACCTCAGGCGAATTTCTACATTAAAGCCCATCCTGAGTGCCCGTCTTCTACAATCTGTGATTCACGCCTTCATCGCTTCTCGGCTTGATTATTCCAACTCCTGCTTGTACGGCATCAGTAAAGCTGCTCTGTCTAGACTTCAGCTTGTCCAGAATTCAGCAGCAAGGTTCCTGACTGGAGCTGACAGAAGACAGCACATTACACCCACTCTTAAATCATTCCACTGGTTGCCCATTCAGTTCAGGATCAATTTCAAAATTCTGCTTCTCACATTCAAATCTTTGAACAGTCAGGCATCTCCCTGTCTGTGTGAACTCCTCCATGACTACCACCCTCCTCGTGCTTTTAGGTCTGAAGATCAGCTCCTTCTAACTGTCCCTAAGGCATGTTTGAAGACCCGTGGGGAAAGGGCTTTTTCTGTCTGTGCCCTAAAATGGTGGAACTCATTACCTCTTCAGGTTAGGCAAGCACCCTCTATTGCCGTTTTTAAATCACGCCTGAAAATCCACTGCTTCTCCATGACCTTCAACTCCCAAACCTTAAAGCATTAACTCATCCTTAGTTTTTCCACCTTGTTTGTTTGATTTAAAATTTGTGTTTTTATATTCTGGTTTTACTTGTTCCATTGGTTTTAGTTTGTTGTTCTTTTAACTCTTCTATCTTTTTTACTTCATATGATTTACACGACTATTTTAGCTTGTGTTTTTTATTATTTGTTTTAATGTGGAGCGCTTTGGTCAGTTGTAATGCCGTGTTGAAAGCGCTCTACAAATAATGTGGTATGGTATCTGCCACAGAGAGACCAGGCAGACGGACGCAAGCCGGAGGATATACCCACCGTCCATGGAAGTTAATCCCTGGGACGTTGGACGGCGTCGGATGCTCGGACCCCGGGGAGGGGGGGGGTCGCACCGACTGGGCCAGCTAAGTACCTGACTGTTTTGTTTTGTTGTTGTTGTTTTTTTTTTTTTTTTTTTTTTTTAGCAGACACTTTTATCGTGGTGATAGGGCTTTTGCTGTGGCAGGTCCTAAGCTTTGGAATAAGATTCCTCTCAGCATAAGGGCATCCACCTCTGTTGCGGTTTTTAAGGCAAGGCTAAAAACATATTTTTATGACCTGTCTTTTAACCTTTCTAACTAGTTTTATTGTTTTACTTACAGCGATTTTACTCACTGTAGTTTTATCTGTATCGTGTGATACAATGTTTTATTTTCTGGACAAACTGTTTTATGTTTTTATTTGATCAGTGTAGCGCCTTGGTGGCATCTTTTTGCCTGTAAGGCGCGATTTATAAATAAAGTTGAGTTGAGTTGAGTTGAGAGAGACTTACATTTTCAAACCTAAAGGGCATGTTGTGATCTGTAGGGGAAATCGGAGTACCCGGAGGAAACCCACGCATGCATGGGGAGAACACGCAACTCCACGCAGAAAGGCCGCAGCCGAGCCAAGTTTCGAACCTGCAACCTTCATGCTGCGAGGCAACAGTGCTAACCACTGCGCCACCATGCAGCCCAGTTTTATGGCTGATCAGCTGGTTTTATCTGAATAGGGGAGGGAAGGGGGACTGGGTGAGAGGGCGCCAGCAGGGACAGAAGCTGGGTTTTATAGGGGGGAGGTTTATTGTGGAAATTGTGCTAATAAAAATGTATTTTTTGTAACCGGTGCCTGCTCCTGTTATTGTAAGGTTCTGTCTGGAGGGCAAGAGATTCTGCCCCTTCAGACCACACTGCTTTTTATTACAGTACCAATAAACGACGAACATTTTTATTGAGTAGTAAAGGACCGTTTGTTTGGCAAAATGACTGAGATGAAGATGAAAAGTACTTGTGCAAAGCAGCAGTGGCATCAAGGAGCCTTTAGTCATTTATAAGTGATCAACCTGGCGGTAATGTGGTGTGAATCACCCGTTTTTCACAAAAGATTATGCAATGGTGGTATAAAGGGGGTGTGGGGGCAGTTGTTGCCAGCCAGATCATGACATCATCCCCTTCTGTTGTACAAATGCATGATCTTTATTCCAAATTTCATCGTTGAAGTAAAATTACCATCAAGCACTTTCATAACACACACCACGGCAGCAAATCAGGGTAATACCGCTGCTACGGTGTGTGTTGTAAAGGTGCCGTGGCAGCAGGGCAATGCCGGAATACTGTAGCATTCCTGGCGCTAAGCTTGCTAGTAATATTATCGCAACGCTATACTTGTTAATGAAGATCAGGTCTTCATGCAACAGATGGTAATTACATGACCACCGAGCCACTGTTGGCAACATTATTGAAAATGAAGGTAAACAGTCAGTTTCACTTTTGTAAACAGAATCAGCTGAGATGCCAAACGTCAGCGGTACAAAGACGCGGGAGCGTAAGAGCTGAAGCACAGGTCATGGACAAAAACACAGCACGAACGCACAAAAGTGTTTCAAAGAAAAATACGGAGAGCAAGCAACAAAGGACTTCCGACGTTTGGAATGATTACATCTAAAGTTAGCAAAAAATGGATTACAGGTCACCAGACGGATCCTGGAGACTGTGAAGGGCAGCCATCTTTTGGAGCAGCTTGCAGTAACAACTTAAGGAGAACAGTTCCAATCAGGATAAAAACACGTTACGTCCAAACTAAAAAGATGTCTGTGACAGCATGTCGACAGCATGGAGACCGCCCCCCTGCCCCTGTATCCCGTCATTGCCTAATCTTTTGTGAAACACACATCATCGCCACAGGCTGACCACTAATGAATGATGATGCCACCTCCACTTTGCAGCTAAGAGGCTTTGGCGGCACAAATAGCGCAATATACTCACCTCGCCATTCCACTAGAGCACATTCATAAGGCACACTGTGGCGGCAGTATTACTCTAATACACTGCCACGGTGTGTCATTTGAAAGTAGCTTCAGTTATTCCATGACTGAAGAGCTACATGACTCATCTGTGTTATGAATAACGTGATTTCAAAATCGTTAATATGTGATGCAACACTTCACCCCAAGGTCACAGGAAATGTTGCCTCTATAAAGGTTTGAGAAGCGTTTAGAAGGCGGACGCAGCACGTAACACAACTCCTCTCTGTAGCTGTGCTCAAGCACTAACATCCCGATCTAAAACGTCACGTTTAGGGTCTGTAAGCAGCAGAGTCGCTACTCGTTCTGTGAGTCAGCAACCGAGCTTTCAACGATCTAATGAAATTTCAAACAAAATAATTATCTTCTAAAGCTTATTTTAGGTCTAAAGCTCAAACATGTAATGCAGATAAATGAAAAATGTACGTTTTGGTCAGATATCTTATATTATTCAGTCACTATTCGTCTTTATACTTAAAAATAATTATGTGTGCCTTTTTAATGGGTTTACATTTGATTATAGTTTAGAGTTTAGAAAAAATGATTTACAAAAACCATCTCAGAGGTTTTGTTTTGCAACTTAAGAGTTTAGAAGTGAGTCAGTAGAGAGCAGGAAGGATGTAAAAAAGTGGTTAAAGGTAAAGGCAGCTGAGTTTATAAGTCATTTAGACCCCAAGGCAGCTGTGGCTACAGTGTAGCTCATCACCATTAGTGTGTGAATGAATGAATGATACACTGTAGTGTAAAGTCTTTGGAGTCCTCTGACTCTGAAAAGTGCTCCTGTAGGTCATGAGAATTCCACCCGCTGCTTTTGAGGGGATTTAAAAAAACTGTTTTTGTGTCAGTTCTTCTCCAAGACGCTTCCTAAAAAACAAGATGGAAAGTTCCAAACCTCCGTGGGGTCATCTGGGTGTCGAGTTAGTGACACACAAGTGGCCAACAGATCTCACATCACGAGTGACCCAACAAGAGTTCAAATACCTGGAATTCCCCACCAGTTGGTTAGAAGTGAGGAAGCCTCCTGGATGAAAGGGGAAATGTCCAAAGGAACCAAGTAAGTCCGAGTAATTCTCTCTAAACTCTGAACTGAGAGGAGACTTTTGAAGAATTTACAGCAACAATTGATGGGCCGCAAAATAGTTTAGAACGGTGATTTAAAACTCGCCAAGTTGTCACTGAACAAAAAGCGTCTCATCTTTAAATAACAGAAACAGAGATTTATCTGTGAAGCACGGTGGTGGAAGTGTCATGGTAGGGCCTATGCATCAGGTCAAGGCTGCACTTTGGTGGGTAAAAAAAATCATCTTTTTGTGTTCATTTAAAACATCTGGAGGTGTAAGAGTTCATGTGAGGAAACGCGTTAGTTTCAAAATAGTTCCTCTAAATGCTTTCGATTCCCCAAGAATGACCAAACCACTTTAATCCGAAGAATCTGACTTTTTCAGGAACTTCTGCAAACGCATCACACATTTTCTCACCACTCAAAAATATACATGTGTTGTTTTGGGTTGCTTTGCTTATTTTGTCATATTTCTGGACAAAAAAAGCCAATAATTCTTCTCAACGTCAATTTTTTTCACATCTATGGAGCCTAAAACATGAATGAATTATATTTGTGAACTGATTTGAGATTGAGGAAAATCTTTAGGTATGATTTGTTTTTGCTGCAGTTTATCAAAATGTCATTCAAATAAAAAACACTCTATTGAATAAATATGTTTATGTAGCAGTGTATTAATTTTAGTAAATGCTTCCACTGCACAAACACTAAAAATGCTTCAAGTTAATGGTTAAAGGATATTTAAAAAAAACTTTTTTGTTACTAATTCGGGGGCTAAAACGCCTATTTGACATTTGTTTTAGCTTCAGGTAAAATTAATGTTAAATATCTAATTGAATGCGTTAATAACTATTTAATATTTGAAGAGTTCATTTGCTAAATCAGATAACTATTTTTTTACAATGGACGAATGCACCTTTTTGTTATCTTCAGTAAATAAAGTTTTCAGAGTTTGAGCAAAAATGGCTTTGGTTAGTTTTTGCAAAAAAAAGCTCTTCATTTATTCAGTGTTTGTGACTTTTATTTGAAATGTGTGAAACATAAGTTTTAACTTAAACAAATCTAATAAAACAACCGCAGGATCATCTGTTAAATGAAAAGTAAAATGTCCTGGAGATGTGGGTTTCCAGACAGACCTTTGTGCGTAAAACCACACCACCCCTCCCCTCAGATCCACTTTTCTAATTTAAAGGATCTGGTTTAAACCGGCCCACTGCTCAGACTCGGCCGAGGTGGATTAAAGCTCCCCCCTGGGCTGCAGCCTAAACGGAGCGATAAAGAGGAACTGAAACTGTGATCTCAATCACAAACGCAGCGCTTTTCTCGCCTTGGCGGTTTGGCGGCTCCGTTTCTCTAAAGCGCAGAGGAGGAGCCCACGGTCAGACTTCCTTGTCAGTTTGTGGGTGTGAAGCTCGAGCTGCTATCAGCCTCGAAGCATCTTTCTGCTCATCAGAAACAAGAGCCCGTTTCCTCCTGCGGGTTTACCCGGAGAACATGGAGCCGTCGCGCTGTGCGTAAACAAGGACGCGCGGACAGGATGGAATTGGCCCTTGGTGGAGACGCAGAGGAGCACGCGTTTTTGGAAAGTGCGTCTTCATGGTGTGTGTGAAACCGTGAAACGCAGAGATGAACAGCACAGACGCCGCTAGCAGCCCGCCCACCGTCCCGGCGATCATGTTCATTTTTGGGGTGGTTGGGAACGTCATCGCCATAGTGGTTCTGCGCCTGTCAAAGAAGGAGAAAAAAGAGACGACTTTTTACACGCTTGTGTGCGGCCTGGCGGTGACGGACCTCCTGGGCACCCTGATGGTCAGCCCGGTCACCATCGCCACCTACGTGAAGGGCTCCTGGCCCGGGGGCGAGTCCCTGTGCCAGTACTCCAGCTTCATCCTGCTCTTTTTCTTCGTGGTGCAGCTCAGCATCGTGTTCGCCATGTCGGTGGAGAGATTCCTGGCGATAAACCACGCGTACTTTTACAACAAGTACATCAACCAGAGACAAGCTGCGCTCACGTTGCTGGCCATCTACGTCTCCAACATCGTCTTTTGCGCGCTGCCCATCGCGGGGGTCGGCCAGGTGAGACTCCAGCAGCCGGAGACCTGGTGCTTCATAGACTGGCAGAACAACCACACCACAGTCCAGGCCTTTAACCTCGTGTACGCGGGGGTGAACTCGGCTCTCGTGCTGGCCACCGTGATATGCAACGTGATGGTGTTTGTGGCGCTGATCCTGATGCACAAGAAGTTTATCCGCCGTACCTCTTTGGGTACGGACCCGCGGCGCGTGGCGGAGCTCCGGCGCAGGCGGAGTTTCAGGCGTTTGGCTGCAGCTGAGATCCAGATGGTGATCCTGCTAATAGCGACCTCCGCCGTGGTTCTCATCTGCTCCATACCTTTAGTGGTGAGTATAGGAGAATCGAACTACAGACCATTGACGCACGAGACGGTCATTTACCGTAATACAGAGAAAGTTACATAATAAAAATGTACAAGTGAAAACGGCAACAGTGCATGATTAAAATGGTCAGGAACATGGTTTATTATTATCATTATTATTATTATTATTATTATTATTATTATTATTACGGTGCTCTGAACGTTTAGTTCTGGTTTGAGACCTTTGCGGTCGGTGACGCACTTCTCGCAAACACAAGTGCGGGTTTTCACACTGCAATCAACTAGAACTGTGACTAGACCGGCGCAGTTCCAAAGGCATGTTTGTTTGCAAGCTGCAAGGGAAAAAGTGTTCATGTGAGAGCGGACAGATCAATCTGATCTGGATACAGACCGTAAATTAAAAAAAGTAGAATAAATGGATTCTAATCTAAGTTTATAAACACTGAAATATTATAAAGTTATCAAATTACCATGTTTATTCAGACAGGAGGGGTTAAGACAGCCCATTTACTGTAGCTCAGAATGCCTCTGATTATTTGGTTTTGTATTGAGTTTTATGAATCTACTCAAACAAAATATTTAGTGCACGAGCAAATAAGGACTGAAAAACTAGAAGATATAGGAGCCTATCAAAGTAGAAGTGTAAAGAGACCCTCTATCTAACATGTATGTGCAGGAAGAACCAGACATGACCAATTATAGCTAAACATCATAGTTGAATAAACTCACATTATCTTACCTTAAGAGGGGTTCTGAGATGTTAGAAAGAGGATTTCTTCACCCCGCTTTTACTTTGGAAAGCCAACTTCAGTCTGCATTTAGATTAAATCTGTCGTATTTTGATAACGATTTTAATATTTAAATGTATCTTTATGCGTTTAGGATGGACTAAATATTTGGATATTTTTTTTTGTTAAAATTCCATTAAAATGTTTAGATTTACTGTTATGTATTTAGATTTAAATCTAAATAGTAATGTGTAACTTTATTATATACAAACACTTTCCACTCACATCTTTTCCATCAGTATAAGTTTGATTAATTTTAAGAGCAGTTTGTGTTTTCTGATTTTAATTTATTTTATATTTTGTAGTTTTGTTTGAATTTGATGACGTCATGATTTTTTTTATCTCAGTGAAGCACTTTGTGATTCTCCTTTTTAAATACGTGCTAAACAAAAATAAAATGACTTTAATGTCAGAGGCCATAAAAATAATCTGCGTCCTTTAATATGATTTTAAGGGAGAACAGAAAAATGTGGAGCTCTCTTTAAAACTGTGGTTTTGAGAAGGCGTGACTGTTTATTGGAAGCAGAAGCCAAAAGCTCATTCATGACAGTGAAACCTGTTTTTATGGGCGTCTTGCCACTGCCACCCTCCTAACAGAGGTTAGTCAAGCATCCACTTGGGTATTCCTACAAGCCATGGAAGAGTATATAAACAAGTTTGCTTTTCCAAATGAAGTGAAGACATGTTTGTGCTTGAGAGACAAGAAGTTCAAACGATTTCTGCTGTTTAAAATGCAGCCTTATGATCATTTGTTTCAGAAAACAGTGCAAAGTGATAAAAATGTTTTCTGTTCTGACTCAACAGTTGAGGATCTTTGAGAATCAGCTGAGAATCACCATAACAAACAAAAACAAGCCCAACGAAGACCTCCTGGCCATCCGAATGGCCTCCATCAACCCCATCTTAGACCCGTGGATCTACATCCTTGTCAGAAAGACCGTGGTCCTCAAGCTGATGGAGAAGATCAAGTGCCTGTTCTGTAAAATGGGTGGGCGGGGTCAACGAGGGGCAGGGCATTTCCGTTGTGTCGACGGCCCCCTATCTTCTTCTGTCATCTCAAGGGACTCCCCATCACTGGTGTCCCGGGAGATGCAGGAGAAGATGAGCTCCTTGCAGACCGTCTTGCGCCCATCTGAGGTGATCTCCCTGGGCCCGAGGTCATTCCGAGAGAGGTCAGAGGGTGGCTCAAGTCCAGGGTTAGCACAGACCTTACAGGGCTCCCAGGAGGCAACAACACTTAAGACGGCGCTCCTGCAGAGGGACTTAGAGGGTGACATGGTGAATAAAATGCTGAACGAGCTGCCAGTGTGCTCCAAAGACACTCTACGTGTGATTTTCACAAACGAGTGTGCAAATATGCTGGAGAAATGTATATAACCCTCAGCATGCTCCAGCCCACCCGTCTGTTAGACATCTGCCAGTCCACTGATATTTTCTGATTGTACCCGTTTTAAATGTGTGACTCCTCCGTTTAGATCCACCACGCCTTAAAAGTCTGCTTCATTACACTGAAAAAGCGCCAACCGTTAAGTTTACTAAGTGTTAATTATTTTTCACTCTAAAATTCTTTTCCAAATATGCCAAAATAAACCAGCTGCCAACTAAACTAAGAACGGTTTAGTGAAAACAAACACATCAAATGTAAAGCATTAAATAAAATGAACCCTTTGACGCAGCTGAGTTAAACCCAACTTTGGTGATTTTGCAGTACACGACCTAAAAAAATGTTTGTCATGAGCCGCGTTTCCGCGATAGGAGTTACGGAAAATTTCTGGAAGGAGAGAAGTTGACAGGAAAATCCAGACGGCTCGGTCCTCTCAGCCATTGTGTCTCCATACGAAATCGTCCCTTTCAGGACTTTTTAGGACGTCAGCGTAACGCAACCAATTCAGCAGTGAGTCACGTCACTGACCGGCGCCAAAATGTGTCCACAAACGTTTTATTGTGTCAAAGTTTGTTGTAATTTAGCCTATTCACGGGACGAGAGGGCGGCTGTTTGATGTAAAAAGCAATATTTAATGATCAGAAGAAGTGCTGTTTTTTACAGCTCTCTGAAAAGATTGGTTTATGCTTGACGCGTTCACTTTCCGCTTGGTGATGCGGCTCGCGGCTGGAACGCGCTTCACAACTCGCAGCGTTTATGGTTCGTGCGGCTCGTCTCTGCGGTGAGCCAATATTCTCCCACACTGAACGGGGTAGCATGGAGCCCTACGGCATGCATCCAACACTACACCATAGTAGAAGTAGAAATTACTGTTTACAACATGGCATTCCAGCATTTTTAACAGCGTCCCCGTCTTTTCCGACAGTGCGAGCTACTTCTCTCCAAGAATTATTAACAACATGTTGATCACGGTGATCTCTGAGAGCTGAATCATACAAATGTCTGTATTTACGAACCTCTGCCATACTAGTTCTTGCCGGTCCGCCATGTTTTTCCGCGTCCGTCCGTCCGCGTGGTTAGAAATTTTCCGAGGTGCGCGTTGCGGACATTTTGGGCCGTGCGGAGATGCGGTGGAGGGGCGCAAGAACTTTGCCGCTCAGAGCCATGCAGACCTCGTGGACGCGTCAAGCATAAACCAACCTTTAGAGACCACAAAGCGGCAAATACTACAGCGTTGTGGGGGATTACGCTGCTTTGGGAGTTTAGAAACGACCATTTAAAAGCAGCTTATTTTCACCCGTAGCTCTTCAAATATTACAAATACTCACTGCTTGTTGACATCTGCTGATTTAACTATTACTAAGTTACGACCAATCAGCATGAGTTAACCACAAGTCCCACCTAGCGACTCTACCGTACCATTTCTGAGTACCTTCCCCAGATCAGGTACTCGGTTGGTCCTTTCGGATCGGCTCGATGAAATGGAGACACGGTCATGCTGTGAAGGTCCAGTAAAATTTCCTGGAAATTCCAATAGTGACAACGAGCCTATAGAGGAGCTTTTCTGTAGCACTTTTGTAAAATATAAACCACTGCTGGGCTGTCAGGAATGTTGACAACCTGCACAATGATTGTAAAGAATCACAGTTAAAATGTGAACTCCGTAATTTATTTTATTTGACTGTCTCTTCTCTGTGAGAAGGTCTATATGTATGTGTGAAAACTCTTATAGTGTTGTTTTTGCTTTGTGTAGACCAGTAATGTCCAGTCATGGTCCGTGTGGAGCACTATCCTGCATGTTTCTGATGTTTCCCTGCTCCAAAACTCTTGATTAAATGGCAAAAGTAACTTTTGTGTATGCTCAGGTTCTGCAGGAGCCTGTTAGTCACCCACTGGTTGAAATCAGACGCATTTAGCAGATAAACGTAGAAAATTCACTGGAAAGTAGCCATTAAGGACCAGGATTAAGCATCATGGGTGTAGATGTTTGCAAACCGTTGGGTCACACATGAATTCAAAGGGCAACTCCGTCATCCAGGCTGGAGTTTCAACCATTTCATAACGAAAGGCAGCTATACTCCACAGCACAGACACCAAAGGATGATGGGAAGCTTTTTAATGTCATCAATTCTAGAAAATTGTTCATTTATTAATTTCTCTAAATCAATTTGTAAAGATTTAATCCAGTTTCATCTGCAGCGTAATCCTCCTAATTGACTCAGATGATTTGGAGATGTTGACTTTGTGCTGCTAATTAAACACAGCCTCGTACTTTTTTTGTGTGAAAAAGCCAATGTTGTACAAAAATTATAAACTTAAAAAACTAAATAAAAGTTAATAAATATTAATCTAAACTTTGCACTCGTCTGTTCTCTTTTTCCTTTGAGTAACAAATAGCCTCTGAAAATTACTGAGTTATTATCTAAAGCATTTGTTTGAAAAAGAAGTTCTGCAAAAATCTAATTTTACATCAAAGCAGAACAGAAATATTGAACCTTCGGTGCTGATCTGATCAGCGGCCGGTACAGCTTCATCCGTCTTACGAGGAAAAGCCAAGAAATGACATAATCCTTGTCACAAGATCTAAATGCATCGTAAATCATCTGTCCTGGATCACTTCTAGAAATTCCAACCTCTTCCCGTAGCAGATGACTAAAAACACTTAAACTGATCGCTATTTCAGATGAAACCGACTGATGGTTCACTCACCTGCAGATGGTTTCTTGGCTCCTGGGGATGTACAGGTCCAACGTAGAAGCCGCCCGGCATCCTCTGAGAGCATTAAACTGTCCCTCACGGAACCATGACCCGTCACCGACGGCTGTGACCTCAGATTTTAAAATCTGTCAAAGTTGTTAGAACTCTGAAGAATTTAACAGATGAAAAATGACACTTTTTGGAAACCTCCATGTTTTTATCACCTCTCGAGGTCCAGTCAGCAGAAAAAAAAGCTGGTTTGTGTAAAAGATTAGCCTTGCATATTTTTTGGTTGCATTTATGACACTTTAGAGCTCTAAACCCATGGAAAAAGAAGTATTTAGACATAGAAAGTATAATATTGTGCACTAAACCACTGATCACTTTGCTTTTGCAGGTCTTTTGAGACGCAGGAAGATTTAAAGACCAAGTTCACTTGTTTTTTCAATACATTTGCAGTGGTCTCTAGCAGGGCTGGACTGGGACAAAAATTCAGCCCGGGCATTTTGACTGGAGACCGGCCCATCACCTGTTTTTTTTGGAAAAGACATTAAGCCTTACGCTGTTTCTGACACACACCAACGTACACTTTCTTATTGGTAGTATTTATGTATCAATCTAATAAACGTAAACCTACACCATCCTTCCTATCCTGGTATTCTAAAAAGTAGGGTTGGGGGTAACTGATTATTTTTAAAATGATTATTCTGACGATTATTTTATCGAATAGTCGACTATTCTAATGACTATTTAGATGATTAATCTAGCGATTACTTTTCTATTGCACAATTAATAAAAACCAAAAAATTCTCAAATAAATTCCTCCAAAAAATTGATAAGTCGTTACTGTAAGAGAATAAACACTACAGGCCTTCCATTTTGTATAACACTGCTTTTATTGTGTTGCGGTTGTTTATGTTCTGGTGACGTGTAGAACTTGGGAGTGCAGGCTGCTGCCTGAGAGGTGGTAGAAGATGGAGTGTCTCCATGCTGCTTTGTTTTGTTCACTTATGTGCGTGAGGCAAGTGGTGTTACGACCCTTCCTGGGGAGTCACGTGTTTCTCCTATTTTAACTGTAAATCCTTCTAGCTGTTATATTTATAACAAGAAACAGATATTCGGACAGAATATTTTCACGTTTATTCGAATATGATTGTGGAACACACACAGCATCATAATAAATGAAGTAATATTTATGCCAATTTAAGCCTTTATGGGTGACCAGGACTCTGTGTTTATGAATGTGGAAGACACCCAGCATCCTGTGATGGCACTAATAACATCAAGAGATAATAAATAAGGTAATATTTAGGTCAATTTAACCCTTTACAGGTGACCAGGACACTGTAATCAATTTTTGGCAAGGGAAATGATCATTTGTTGCCATTTTTGAGGTGTTTATGAATGTGAAAGACAACCGGCATCCTGTGATGGCACCAATAACATCAAGAAATAATAAATAAAGTAATATTTAGGTAAATGTAACCCTTTACAGGTGACCAGGACACTGTAATCAATTTTTGGCAAGGGAAATTATCTTCTTTTCTTTTTTTTTTTTTTTTTTTTGCCATTTTTGGGGTGTTTTTGATGACACAGTAGGCAGTATGAGTACAGTAACATCAACAGATAATACATAAAACCCTTATTTGGTCAATTTTAGCCTCTATGAAAATCTTAGCGATTCAATCACTTTTTGGCAAGTAAAATGCCATTTTAGTTGTCTACAATTAAATCATCAATAAAGAATTTAAAGATATTTTGAGGCATTTCTTATAGGTAAACGGGAGGGTGTAGTCTATTTGGCAAGTGACAATCTTAATTTTATGTGCTGAAGTGCTTTTATCTTGTTACTTTTAAATAGAGCAACGTAATGAATAGCAACCTACACAGTGTCATTAAAGCCAAAGCTTGATCATTTTAAATACTTTTTTTCAAGTAAAAATGTGCCCCAAACTAGTTAACTGTGGCTCCATGTCAAGTGGACTAAAGAAAGGAAGGGGAAAAAATTAAATCGCTGGAGAATTGTTTATTTCCATTTATACAACGTTTACATTCAATACAGGGTACCATTTTACATTGTTTATTTATTTTTTTAGTATCAAGGCTGTAACATAAAGAAAGCCAGTTCTTACCACAAAGTTTGTGGCACAAACCATCTTTCAATCGCAAATATTGCAAAAAGGATTAATATATCCTCATTGTGAACGTTTAAGATAAATAGCAACACTTAAAACAACTTCCGAACTGGAAAAACTAATGTGGCAAGGTGCAGAAAGGAGTGCCCGGGCGGGATTCGATCCCGAGACTCCCGGGTGAAAGTCATACGCTCTAACCAGTCAGCCAAAGGAACATCTCTTTGGCCAAGCAGCCAGGGCTCATCATCTATCGGGATATTGTGGATGCTCACACTGCCACATCTTCCTCCCTCTTTCCACAAGCACGTCCTCGTGCTCCCGCGCAGGCTGCCACAAACACTGCCACACTAATATCCGCGATAAACATCTGTTTAAGTACCGGAAGAGGTTATCTTTGCTTTCTGAATGTCCATATTGCTAGATATGCTGAGTTTTAGGGCGAAATCCTGGGGAATTTTGTCTAGAAATGCAATTACCTAACCGTGCGCGATCCCGCGGTGGCTAATCATTTTTTGGCAGCGAGTCAATTTATGGCACAACACCGGCTCGGGTTTCTCCTCCTCCTCCCTCTTTTCTTCTCCAACCTGTCGCTGGGCTGAGGCTCCATCACTTCCTAAATTGATTTTACTTGAACCTTCACTACCAAACAACTGTGAGATTTTAACACATGTGCCAGCATCAGCCTGAAGGGCCAGTTTCTTTTTTAGTCGAATTTTCTCCGCTCCTCCTTTCCGTTTTTTGTTCTCCATTTTGTTAAGCTCGTCTGTCTGTTTACTGAGATTCACAAACAACTGGCGGGTGCATCAGACCTCTGGCTATTGGTCCAGCCCAGAGTGTATTATTACCAATTGGCCAATACACCAACTTTTACGAGGCGTCGCGTGGGGCGGCGCGAACAAGTTGTCCGCATCAACTAGAGGCCAGGAAAAAAAAAAAAAAAAAAAAAACAGACACCGGCCCATAAAAGATGAAAGGGTCGGCCCAGCGGGCAGTTGCCCGCTATGCCCTATGGTCAGTCCAGCACTGGTCTCTAGTGTAAATGAATGCCTTGTGAGTCGATCTCTGTGGGGAATAAAGCTCTGGCGTGTCTGTTTCAAGAAGTAGAAGCTAGCCAGAGCAGGGGGGGGGGGCTGAAAACGGCAGGATTTTGAGTCTTATTCCCTGATATTTGGACACATCTCCTCTAACAGCAACATGACTCTACCACTGACTCTGTTTGCTTTGCGACACTGATATTTTCTCTCCACTAATAACACAAGCGTGTAGGAGTTCTGCTATGTTTTGGAGTTGCTAACGCTATATGTTAGCTTCTACTAGCCGAGACATGCTCTGCTCTCTCCTGCTGCTCAACACCACAGCACTATCCCAGGTTGTGAGTCTATGAACGCTAACCTTTGGTGTCACATGGATGTGACTGACTTTTTCACATGGATGTGACTGACTTTTTCGGGCCCATTTCCCATCTATTTTCTACTACTTGTGCAGGAAATGGAGTATATGTGTTTTGTGAATTTAAAGCAGGCATTTGACCGCATCCCTTGGGGGCCCTGTGGGGGGTACTTTGGGAGTATGGGGTACCAGGCCTTCTGATACAGGCTGTTAGGTCCCTGTATGACCGGTGTCAGAGCTTGGTCTGCATTGCTGGCAGTAAGTTGGGCTTGTTCCAGGTGAGAGTTGGACTCCACCAAGGCTTCCCTTTGTCACCTATTCTGTTTATAAATCTTATAGACAGGATTTCTAGGACACAGCCAAGGTGCCGAGGAGATCCGTATTGGTGGCCTGAGGATCGGGTCTCTGCTTTTGGCAGGCAATGTGGTCCTGTTGGCTTTCTTGGACCATGATCTCCGGCTTTTGCTGGAGTAGTCTGAGTAGTTTTCGTTGCATGATTTAGGCTTTTGAGTTGGAAGTTTATTGCATGGTTTTCAGTGTTTTTATGTTTGATCCACTGTGGACTTTGTGGACATTTTTGCTAAATGACAGTCACCTGTCAGGAGGTAGGTGTGTCCTCAGACTGCAGAGTGAGAGAGGAGTGAGAAGGAAAGCAGACAGCCCAAACCGAGGAGAAAGAAAGTCAGACTTTAAAGGTGGAACGAATCACACTGAGACGGGTTTGAGCATCCCATCCCTGCAGGTGGAGCAGCGACCAGTGGGAAGTGACGCCTGTAACTGACAGCAGAGCAGAGGGTGGACCTCTGCTCGCATCCGTAAGTTAACGCTTCTGCTGTTGCATGAAGAGTGAAGCTCCATAGGGGCAGATCCGGTGGAGGAGATTTACCGGGCCGCTTCCAAGGACAATGTTTCTGCCCAGTACCTTGTGTTCTGCAGGCCACCGCTGTGATTGATGGTGATGTCGGCTGATGAACGAGACAGGAAAACGACCGAAGGTTGGGAGCTCCTCCTGTCATCTCCTCAACTGGGATCGGTGCGGAGCAGGTGTCTGCTCGGAAGGATCCTTTTGCTGTGGAGCGGCATAATTCAGGAAGTGGACACACCTGAGACATTTTAGAACTTTTTGTCCTCTTCTTATTTTATACAGACATATTTTAAAAGAACCTTTTATTATTTAAGATGCAGTCTTAAAAGCAAGTCGTTGTTGTTGACCTGTTGGGGTTTGTTGGGAATCCTAAAGACTGCAATTAATACTGATGTCCTGTGTCTCTGTTCTCTGGGTTCATGACACAGGCCTACCCTGTATGGGGCCTATCAGGTTTACAACTCAGAACTTTCCGTCTGAGAGTTGCTTTCGGTTACATTCACAAATGAGGGAAAGCTATAACGTGAGATTGGCGATGTATCTGCAGTGATGCGGGCGCTGTACCGTCTTTGTTGGTGGAGAGCTGAGCCGGAACACGAAGCTCTCGATTTACTGGTCATCTACGTTCCAACCCTCACCTACGGTCATGAGCTTTGGGTAGAGACCGAAAGAGTGAGATCACAGATACAAGCGGCCAAAATGAGTTTTCTCCGCAGGGTGGCTGGGCTCTCCCTTAGAGATAGGATGAGAAGCTCAATCATCCGGGAGGTGCTCGGAGCGGATCAGCTGGTCCTCCACATCAAGAAGACAGTTGAGGTGGCTCGTTTATCTCGTTAGGATGCCTCTCAGTGAGGTATTCTGGTCACATAGAAGGAGAACCAAAGGAAGACCCAGGAAACACTGGAGGGACTGTTGGTGTTTCTCATTGTCAAGGCGCCTGGCCTCGCAAGGCGGTGTCTTCCTAGGCCAGGCACCTTGCTTACAAGGACACTGTCCTTCCTTGGTCAACGAAAACGGTTAATGGAACAGACTTGCATCACATGACCGCGGCTTCCACGACGGTCACCTCTGCGATTTAGAATTTTGCCTTATGGCTTTAAAATAGGTTATTAAGTTATTCTAAAACCTTAATTTATAGCTAGTTGCCTTTGTCCACTTAAATGTGTCCTCTTCAATAAATGACCCAGCTTTCTTTGGTCCAGATCAGATCTGCTCAACTTTTAAGCTAATTTTCCCAACTTGTCCCTTTTGGTTTTGGTTAGAACATATTGAGTTCTCTGGCTTTAAGCACCTTCAGCTCATTTGTTTTTCTTGTTTTATTCATCTTATGCGGGTGTCTGCATTTTGGGTTTTTTGATCTGGTCATTGTCTCAAACATTTCACAGCTCCATCAACACTTCCCCCAACATTCATACAGGGAACTGTTTTTATACACAAACACAACCTAAACACACATCTATGCATGAAGCGTGAAGATGAACGGCACACCCAGATCAAACACAGGTTAGTACCATTTATCTACACCAGTTCTTAAAATAACAGCTGCACCTGCAGTGACTCAGATGGGTAAGAACTACTTATTTACTCATGTTTATTTGGCTTAGTGTGATTTTGTTTCCCTTGATGATTCAGTTAGTCTTTAATGATCTGCAAACTGTTTTGTGTAAAAATGTAATTATTGTGACATTAAAAAAGTAAGAAAGAGCTTTATTATTATTAATTTTTTACATTTATTGGGATGTTAACTATAGCAACACAAACACATCGTATACGTTATAAACAATAAAAAATAACTTTGGAATTTGATAATTCTTTTTTTTTAAGTAGTTTTATATTGTTTCTAAAGGTGTGGAACACTGATGACCCATTATTTCTGAAAATAATTGGTCACTCTGAGTTTTTCATGCAGGATGAGCATTAAAATAGTCTTGAGGCAGAGGTGTGGACTCGAGTCAGCTCGAGTCATTATTTTAATGACTTCTGACTTGACTTGATAAAATCTATAAAGACTTACGACTTGACTCGGACTTGAACGCCAATTACTTGCAACTTGAATCGACTTGCATCTGTTGACTAGATGATGACTTGAGCGTATTTGATATTTTAGCACAAATGTGGCACGACATGGACAAAATTCATAAATCATTCTTGGTTCTGGGTTTGATGTTGTACTGCTAAAGGCAGCAGCACGTTGTTTATAATCTATTTCAGTTGCACTTCCTGCTTGTTGGAGCAAATAAATGAAGCTTTAAGAAGCTTTTTTTTCTGGAATTTATTTATCATTGTCATTAAATTGAAGTTGGACACATGACTTAATTATGACTTGAAAATTCAAAGTTAAGGACTTGGACTTGACTTGGACTTCCAATTCATTTACTTTGGACTCGACCTGGACTTGACTGGAAAGACTTGTGACTTGCAAAGCAGTGACTTGGTCACACCTCTGTCTTGTGGTGCTACAGGACTATTCCTCCCTATTTCCGTTAAAATAGACATCATGCTAAAATATTATTCATGCCTAAAATCTAAGTAAATAAGAGACAGCATTTAAGACTTGGTTGTCACTCACAGCAACACTGTAAAGCCCCAAGAATTAAAATTATATAGACGGTGAAGAGCATGGGGGCCCAATATGGATCCCCGTGGGACGCCTGTTTTAAGTGTTAAGAGGACTTTCCACTGCTGTCTTCATTCCAGATGTTTTAAACCATTGTAATGTTGCTTTGTCAAAGTTCATAGACAGTTTGATGAGAATGTTGTGATTTAGCAAGTCAAATGGTGAAAGAATGTCACATTGATTCAAAAGTAAACATGTACCACCTACCTACCTACCCACCCACCCACCCATCCATCTCAGTGTTCAAGCTTTACAGGAAACCTTTGATTTCAGTTTTTTGTTAAAACAACTGGAGCTTCGGTGTTTCGTTATCTGTCATGTCTGCTAACACCTCCATACCTGACGACTGTTAGTCTAATTGTTTTGTTATTATATTCAACTTAAAAAAAATGATTTTCCAGGTTCGCAAAGTTCAAAGACGGTAACCTGTTCTGCCGCGAGGAGGGCAGTCGGGGTAAGTCCAACTGAAAAGCTTAAGTTTCTTTGTGTCTGGCCTGCATGACAGATGAATAACTGTTCTTCAACTGGCAACTCAATAACACGCTCTGCTGCAGCAATCATGCAGACACAGGCCCAGGTATCCGACTACAGAGCAACGCGCAAAGATAGAACGCACTCTTACACCCCCACCCCAGCTGCACATAAATACAGCTAGAAGACGAAATTTATAACATTTTGTCTTGTTCGCCATCAGCTTAGATGAAAGCCGTACCGTCAGTGAAGCATGCTGGGAGGATTAGTGATGAAGGTGTGTTTGTTGCAAGTACTGTTGACAGCTTTGAGCAAACATGGATATACCGCCATCTTTAACCGTCGTGCCAACTTTACTCACCTTCACACCTGAAACTGATCGGCTTATCTTTCAGTAACATAGCGATCCCTAGCCCGGGCTGCAAAGCCCGTCTGAGAAGTGATAAAGTTTGGCAGATCAGTCAGGTTGCTTTCACCTCAGTCCCACTAAACCTGATGGAAAAAGTCTGAATCATGCAGACAACAGCTGCTGTGTGGATGTTTTGAAGCAGCACAGACGGATCGCAACAAGCTTCTCTAATAAACTCCCAAGTGACGTAATCCCAGATTACTGTGATTAAAGGCATGCCTAGTAAATAATCAGCTTAACTTAAACACTTTAAAGGATTTGCATGTTTTTCAAAAACAATAAATTCAATGAAGAAAAAGTTTATTTGCTTACTGAGTTTTTTTCTCTACACAAACTCTGAGAGGCTGTCAGTTCTAATCAGCCTGTTTAATGTTTTATCATTTATGCTGAAGACTTTTATTAAAATCATCTAAACAAGATGGCGGTTTAAATTCTACGGTAATTCCAAAGAAAAGACGTGTCCATTTTCAAAATAATGACCCACTAAAATAGAAACAGTTCACATTTATAACTTTAAATGAGCATCTGGATCCGTTCTCAGCAGCTGGAACACCGACTGAAACCCGACTCCCTGGCTGGTTTCCTCGTCTTTCCACGCTGGCTTTCAGCTTCATGAGCCAAAGCAGATATAAAAACTAAACATTCAGCTGATGCTCTAAAAGACATCATCTCTGATTATAAACTTTACGCTTCACTCGGGACAATCAAAGTCCTCTAGCTTTGACGAACTTCTCCTCCGACGGTGTAACTGCTCCCCCTGATCCTTCTCCACTCACTACGTTTTGCAGGTTACCCTCTGCGTCTATGACCACGGCGGTCCTCTTCAGCTCCTCATATTGGGTCTGTCGCTCAGCAATGGCAACGCAAGCTGCCAGAACCTCGTCAGTCTCAAAATCATAGTCCTGTTGGAGCTCAGGGGCGTTAAGGATCTGTGTTTTGGTCTCCTCCTCTTGTCTCATCTTCTCCTTTGTTGCCAACTGCTGCTTCTGAAGCGTCCGTGCCCACTTCAGGTCTTCTTGCCACAGGGCGCTCTCAGATGGACACAGATGGATCGCTGTCTGGAAGGACCTCACTGCCTGCAGGGACAGCGCTGATATGGGTTAAAGATGAAAACACATGATAGGACAAAAAAGAAAGAAGTCGCTAAACTTGATGAATAAAATTGTGTGTTAGGCCAAAAAAAAGTAAAAATTAGATAAAATTTTTAAATCTTAATATTTATAATAGTTATATGTTCGATACCAAACATGTTCATGTTCTGTTCACTAAGGCCTGGAACACGCCAGACTCGGAAGCGCGATGAAGCGTTGCGAACTTGTTAACCTACGCTCTGGGTCACATCAGCTGCGAAGCGCCACGAAGGCTCGCGCCGTGCAGCGATCGCTTCGGCGTGAGCTCTATTTTCTTGTGAGCCGTGAGTGAGCCACGTCAATTCTGGCAGGAAGTCAAACCACAGCAGAAAAGACAGGCCGGTAAATTTAACAAAATAAAAGAACAATTTCTAAATATAACACCGCAATTGATAAATGTGATCATTTCTGTGTATCTAAACAGACTAGAGAGATGAAAATGAACAAATACACACACATAGCAGAGAAACTGTGTTTCCATCATTTTAAATGCAGTTTTTACATCAAAAGATGGATTAAATTCAATTCAAGTTTATTTATATAGCGCCAAATCACGACAAGAGTCGTCTCAAGGCACTTCACATAATAAACATTCCAATTCACAGTTCATTAAGCCAATCAGAAACAATGTTTCCTGTATAAGGAACCCAGCAAATTGCATCAAGTCACTGACGAGTGTCAGTGACTTTACAGCAATCCTCATACTAAGCAAGCATGCAGCGACAGTGGAGAGGAAAACTCCCTTTTAACAGGAAGAAACCTCCAGAGAATCCTGGCTCAGTGTAAGCAGCCATCCTCCACGACTCACTGGGGATCGAGAAGACAGAGCAGGCGCACACATACGCACGCACGCACGCACGCACACACACACACACACACACACACACGCTCGTTGAAAATTCTCTCCTGATGTGAACAGAGGAGGAGCGGACAGCGCACGAATTTCGTGAGCGATCCACTTCGTGGTACTTCACAGCTGACATGTTCCAGGCTTAAATCTCTCTGACATGTGGGGTTTTCAGCAGTTTGAGTACCTTCCAGAATGAGCTGTTTCAGTGTCACTTTAAGAAAACAAGCCAGAGCTGGCCACGCCCACTCATCCCCCCCACACTCAGGCTGCTACTAGCTGAGAATCTCCAATTTCAACTGCTCCCCCAGCAGCAGCTCGCTCTTGCATGTGAGGCAGTTCTATCCTACTTTCCCCATTTGTGACATCACAAACAGGTACATTTTTGAAACAGCTTGTTCTAGGCAAGTAACTAAAATTGAATACAGACAGAAAACAGACAGGCATGTTTTTTTCATGTTTGGAGTGTTTACAGAAGCAGTTGACACACATGGCAGAAAAAAAGGATGCAAAAGATGAGTCTTGCATAATTCGTCCTAGGGCTGGACGATAAAGAAAAAAAGCATATCGATTATAAAAATTCCTATTAATCAATATCAATAATTATTGATAATTATAAAAAATGTAGAAAATATATTTTATGTGCAGTCCTGGCCATTTAATGTCATTACTTTATGACAAAACAAGTTTTTAGTGCCACCAGACTTGATTTTTATTAAATCTAAGTCTTTTTTTCTCAAACTTGCAAAAACCAAAATATTGCCGGGCTGGTGAACTACTGTAACTTGTTTAAAGGACTATTTCCTCCACCTCTCCTTGCTGCAACATCTTGCTGTCTGTTTAGGTTTGAGGGTAGGATTTGGTGGCGGAGCATGCCTGTTTTTGATTCGTTGGGAGTAAATACAGACTAGTATTAAGCTGATAGGTTTGAATTGAAAAAAGGAAACTTCTTTTTGAAGTTTTTACTGACCCATTTTTTCCCCCATCACGCCATACGTCTATCGGTCAATATATATTGTTATTGAATTATTGGCCTAATATGTCCTCTATAACCACCTGTTCGTCTTTCACATAAATTGTTCAAATGCTCAAAGCCCCCTAACTAAGTATTTGGGCTAATACCAATATCCGATATTAATATCACTGTTAAGGCCGATATTTGCCGATACCAATTTACGCTTCTGAAATCAGCAAATTTTGTAAATACTGAAATGATGCAAGCTGGATTTTTGAACATTTTCCTATTTTTCTATAAAGTGGAATTTGCAATGTTATTTACACACACACCACACACATTTACACTTCTGAGATGATTAACATCACTGTCAAAGTACTAAACAATTACACATCATCACCCCCCTCACCCTATGAAACAGATACACAAACAGAAACAAGAAGGAAAAAATATTGGTTGTTAATATCGGCCGTTTTACTCATCGGACTGATACGTTATGATATATGATATATGATATGTTAAAAAAAGACAAACATCGGCTGATACCGATATTGATGCAGATATATCGTGCATCCCTACCCCTAACCCTATTTTTAAAATACATCAAGATTTCTGCTGTAATTCTTAACTATTATCTTAAATGACTCATTTATTGTAAATGTAGAAAAGGCAGAATCAGGATAGCCTCGTGTTCACCAAGATGACTAAAGTGCCTACACAAGAGCACAACTTGAACATGTTGGTGCACACAAAGCTTTTAAAACTCGACCAAACAAGTCAGGCTATAAATAGATGTTTGTTCTTTCATACCAGAGCTTCATTATACATGGAGGTGTGTCTATACTTGGTTTAGTTTAGGCTTAAGGAACTTTCAACACTTCCCATTGTTGTGTTTGATGCTGTTGGACAGTTTGATGCCTACTCGCTTGTAGGCATGCATGAGCGACGCCAGCCTGAAGGCTTCCTTAATGCAGCCCAGGTTGCTTGTCCATGGAGGGATGGGGGCCATAATGTAGTTGTGTTCTGCAGGTTTTATACACCTGCAGGTTCAAACCTGTTCTGTGGCAATTTAGGCAATGTCCAAGCCTGAAGCATCTGGGTGTGCTTTTCAAATTATCTCAGCGGCTGGGAGCTCATGAAAAAAAAAGAAGGAACAAATAAAATGTAGTGAATAGAATAATTTATGTTTGTACCAACTTCTGTAATGCTTTGTTGGTCTGATTGGTGAACATCCAGTTGTAACAGTCAGATTATCATCTAATTAGTTTAAACCAGGGGCACTCTTAGAACCAGGGGCACTCAAACACAAGTGACTAAGGGCCACATAAAGCTTTTCGATGAGTCGAAGGGCCAGTCCGGAGGGAAGCGAGGCGCAGGCCGCCTATTGAGGACCGCTGTCTTTAAGCTATTGGCCACAGGCAAAATTCCTTCGAATGGCACGTGTAAAGAAGTATTAAAACCTCAGATCAAAAAGGTTTTTGGATTTTCACGGCTGGAATTTAAAGAAAATCTGATGTTTTTGACTGGAGCAGGAAAAACAGAGACTAGCTTCTGGGCTAAGCCCTGTGCAGCTGTTTCACAAGGAGATCTGCTGAAACAGCCATATTAAACAATCCCCGACTCCGGTGTTTCTGCGTTAGCGTTATAGCACAAAACAACGTGTCATCAGTCAGATGTAGCTTCTGAAGCCTCAGCTGGTTGGTCAGATTTGTTTTTTTCTCTGGGATACGGCGATGAGAACGGATAATGAATTACCAGAGAGGTTCAACCGAACTCCAAACCCCGCTAGCTGGATATCACTACCGGAGGTCCAGACATGTTTTGGACCGTTTGACTCAGAAGACCTGTGACCTGATTTGGACACTGGGGAGGATTCTGTTTCTCCTCAGAACCAAAATAGATAGTTTGTTTACTTTTTTTAAATATTTCATGTCTGTAAACATCTTTTGTACGTTCTTGCTGTGTCTGATTTCTAATTCCATTTTTGATTATTTTTTAAAACACAGGAAAGGTTTTTCTTTACCTTGCTAACGTTTCGTTTGCCGACTGCAAAACATCCTCAGAGCTGACGCTGATGGTGGCGTCACTTCCTACTCCGTTTATCCACAGGCAGCAGAGGACGTTGTCGCCCTCTGCTGCCCGCTCTCCCCTCTCCGACGATGCAGTCCCATGCACGATCCAACATGTAGACCCCATCGTCTCTGTTCATGGTCCCACATCCACGTCTCCTTATCTCTATCTTATCTTAGCTTCCTTTATCCATCTTTTGTATTTCTGTTGTTCAATGTTATGATCCTTGTGTTGTCCCAGTCCATTATATGGTTTCCTCTTGTGCAGTGATCTGTTACGGCTGACTTCTTTATTGTGCTTTCTGCTTCTTCTTTTGCTGCTCTTGTGTGTTTTCGATTTGCCTCTTTCTCGCACTCCTTTCTGTGTTCTATTGTTCGTGTGTTGAGTTGGCGTCCGGTTTCTCCTATGTATGTTTTATTGCAGAGTTTGCATGGGATTTCGTAGATGACTCCACATTTATGTCCAGCTGGTAATTTGTCTTTTGGGTGTACTAGTCCATTTCTAACTGTTGTGTATGGTTTCGTTGGTGTGTTTATGTTGTGTTTTTTCATTGTTGCTCTTATTTTTTCTGTTATGCCTCTGATGTATGGTAGGGTTATCACTGGTTTTGGTTCTGGTCTTTCTGGGTTTCTGGTTCTTTGCTTAGGTTGTTCTTTTCTTTCTGTTGTTTTGCCTTGTTTATTGCCCATGTCGGGTATCAGCAGGTCTTTAAAGCGCGTTGTATGTGTTTGTCCTCTTGTTTACGGTCTCTTTCTTCTGTTATCATGATTGCTAGGTGATATAATGTTCTGATTACTAACATTTTGTGTATGGTAGAGTGTTCTGATGTCTACAAAAGATGGATAAAGGAAGCCATAGAGATAAGGAGACGTGGATGTGGGACCATGAACAGAGACGATGGGGTCTACACATTGGATCGTGCATGGGACTGCATCGTCGGAGAGGGGAGAGCGGGCAGCAGAGGGCGACAACGTCCTCTGCTGCCCGCGGATAAACGGAGTAGGAAGTGACGCCACCATCAGCTCTGAGTATGTTTGCAGCCGCAAACAAAACTGTCAGCAAGGTAAAGCGAAACCTTTTCTGTGTTTTAAAAAGAACCAAAAATGGAATTTCATTTCTGTGCTCATAGAGCTTCCACCAGGAGCTCCAAGATGATAAACGAGTTATCAGCTGGTCTAAGCTCCATCATACTGTCCCAATATAATTCAATAATCTTAAAATAAATAAAATAACGTGCTGCCAGTTTTACCGCTGCCTGTATGTATTGATATACGTAACCAATAGCTTAGCAGAATAAATCTTCCTGATGCTGGAGTAACTCCTTAGTTTGACTCGTTTGCACTAATCCAGGATCGCACAGAGGCTCTACCGGTACCAGGAGGATCAAATGTTGAAATATGGGGATTATCTTTTAGATTATATGTCCAAATGACTTGTTTTTTCCTTACCAGAGCTAACACAGTTAGCAGTGTTGCTGCAGTCATGCTAACGGGACTCGTCTGGAGTCCAGAAGTGCCGGTGTGGTTCTAGATGGATTTATAGATGAAGGTCAATATCTTAGATCAGATCTGTTATTTAAAAATGCGTGTAGGACACGGATATATGGCTCAGACCTGTTGCTGCAGATGTGAACGCAATTTTCCGTAATAATTAAGAGCACGGCAGGAAACAAACTACAGTTGTTTACTATACTACCTTGTTTAACGTGTTGGAGTGACGTGTGCGGAACACAGTTCTTCACTGTCTGGAGGAGAGGATTTTGATTTTCTGTAATGATTTATGACTAAACATAATGTAAAATTGAACCCAGTTCATATTTATATAAATGTTAAAGTGTAGTTACACTGAATTTCTACAATTTTAATGCCGAGTCTGGCCAATACCTTTAAACACTCCATCAAATGACTGAAACTGACAACACATTCCCTGGCTCTTTGCAGCAAGCCATCGTTTCGGTCACAAGTCGCCATCGTACTCACCAGATCCACCTCTCCTAGGTTGAGCTGTGCGCGGCCCAGGGTCTGCCAGGCCTGCCACCACAACGGCTGGAACTTCACAGCCATCTCTGCAGCCTTCACAGCTGGAAACTCTTCATGCAACATGGTCAAGACCTGCAGACACAAAGTACAAGCTTAGTGATTTCATCCATGAAACCATGCATCTCCAAAATAAAAAAACCTAACAAGGATTGACAAACAGAGAGCACCAAAAAAAAAATACCTCAAATGCTCACAGAAAACCTTTCCTCTAATCTTTCTGCACTCCGTGTTTTTAATACATAGTTAAATAAGAGAAACCTTGTGAACTGTGCAGATGAAACCGTCCTTGGGGTGGGCGAGGTCAAAAGTCATGTTTTAACGGGGCGGGCCTGGGAACGAGTCTCCGCACCCTGAGAGTAAGCATCACATCTCTAAAGCTGATCTTCACCTGTGTGTGTCACACGTCATGTGATCAGGAAGCAGAAAATCCATAAATTGGGAGATCGTTTAGGACGCTGCTGTGAAAAAAAGCGGGAAGCTATAACCGGAAAAGCTTCTGCTGCTCACACTGCGACAACGGATTGTGAAAGAAGGGAAAACTCTAGAAACACGCTAATTCTTCCTGATGTATGAAGTGAGTCTACTCTTTGTTTTGGTAGTCTACATGAGCGTAGAGGACAACGTTCTGACTCTTCAAAAAGCAGTAAAAATGCTCAAAAACGCTGGCAGTCGGGCAGTTATTGAGTTCATGTATGATGGCGTTGAATTTTAAAGGCACAATTTGATGCAGAGAAATTGCTTATTTTCCACAGGCGGCAAACATGATTTTAGGTTTTGTGTGAAAAAACGTAGACTTAAGCCTGAGTCATGCTTCTGCGTCTGCGTCAGTGCGGAGACACGCAACACCATTATCCGTCCTTGCGGGCCTGCTGGAGAGCCCCGGCAAGGACGGACGGAGTCGAGCTCTCTTTTCTAAACATCCGTCCGTCGAGACGGAGAACGCAAGCTTGTGATTGGTCAGGGCACCGATGTCGTCTACACCGCTGCCATTGCGCCCTCAAAAACATAAAGAGAGCCGAGGATAACTAGCGGCAGACACGGAGAAGCTTGAAGAACACCTCGCAAAAAAACTCTAAAAATATGAACGTTTTATTCCCCCGTGACTGGAGGAGTGAAAAGATGCGCAGCAAGCGTTTTATTTGTGGATGGAAATGACAGGAAACGTGGGTTTAGAGGTGGCGAGCGCACAAATTTGTCCGTGTTAAAAAGTCTCTTATATACAAAAAACACAATATAAACACACTATATTGGACAGATACATGACAGGGTACCACAGTACAGCGCTACGCCCTCTGTTGTCCTGGCGGGGAATTGCTTTGCAACACTCCCCAGGAGACGTAGAAGTTTGAGAGCAAAACATCTCCGTCTGTGCGTGTCTCTCCCTTTTGGAGCTGACGGAGAAGCATGACTCAGGCTTTAGGCTGCCTATAAAGATAAATATAACATTGTTTAACCTTTACCTGCCTGCTCAACCAACTTGGTAGAGCACATCTACAGTCACTACATCTCACTGAAGCATTAAATGAACGTAACAAGAAAAAAAATAGTAAAACTAAATTATTCTAAATAATATGGAGTTGTTTAAAGACAAGGAGTAACATTGTTATATTGCATTATTATCATCTTAATATTAGGTCGGGTTTACGTGGACAGGTGTTGTGTTTATATAGTTGTCCCAGAGAGAACGCGTATTCCCCCGAGTCGAGAGAGCACACCGGGCAGGAACACTGGATCCAGCTGGCCACACCTTGAATCCAGCTAATGAGATGCAGAGTTATGTTTCTGTTTAGTGGAACAGTGAAACATGAGTTTTGTTACTTTAATGTTCAGTTTGCAGAAGACAAAAATATATATTTATTGTTCTCATGTGATAATTTCAACAAGCGGAGATATTTTCCCTAATAGGAAGATCAACACATCTGTCTAGACTCCGTTCATATAAACAAGTAAACGGATCTCTGTTTGTTTCCACACATCTTGTGAAAATACTTTTATAGGTGTTTCCAGGGATCCCATATTACCTTTTCTAACTCATTTTCTTTCTTCCTTCCTTCTCATCTTTTTTTCTTTAAAATTTTCCACTATCCCCATTTTTATTACGACATTTTTAAAATAATTTTTATATAGAAATGTTTAAAATCTTTTTTAAATTATTTTTTTGTTTTTGTGAAGCATCTTATGATTTTTATAGTTTCTTCTTCTACTGTTAAATGGTAAATGGCCCGTATTTGTAAAGCGCCTTCTTAGGGTTCTACAGCACACATTCACACGCTGGTGGTGATGAGCTAGGATGTAGCCACAGCTTCTCTGGGGCACACTGACAGAGGTGAGGCTGCCGAACACAGGCGCCACCGGTTCCTCCGACCACCACCAGCAGGCAAGGTGGGTTAAGTGTCTTGCCCAAGCACACAACAACAGAATTCTCTGGTGGGAGCCGGGATCGAACCTGCAACCTTCCAATTACTGGACAACCTGCTCTACCTCCTGAGCTACTGCTGTCCCTTTTAGCTTTGATTGCTGCTCATCTCCATAAATGTATCTACTGGAGACATAAATACACCTTGCTGCCTACAACGGTTCATGTGGACACTTGAGAAATTAAATATTAAAATCTAATTATTCGCTTTATTATTTTCAAATTTTTGAACAGTCTAAAATTAAAAATACAAAAAAAAACAACAAGCGCTTTGGGGTTTTTGCCTCCGATTCAAATGCCAATAACAAAAACATCAGTGACTGTTTCATTTAGTTTTTTGCAATTGAAAATGAAAAGAATGACTGCTATGTGCTTGTTGTGTTTCTATCTGTATTTATCCCATAATCATAAAATTAATCAGGTGATAACCAACCAAAACTTTCCTGTCTTACTGAGAGATACAGTAAGATAAATCTAAAAACTAAATGTAAACAAACATGTAAACAAAAGAGGATGATTTGGTTAGACCCAGTTTCAGACCACCAGGAGCTCGGATGCGAGGGAACTAGTGACTGAATCAAACAGGAGGAAACAACTGAGGGGATAAAGAAGTGTGTCAGTGTCTCTGTCACGATGCACCTCACACGAGCCTCTGAATCTAAACACCAACAATGGCAACAGACACCGATAGGTAAGAGCATAGTACACATGTAGCCAAAAATAACCCAAACAAGAACATTAGAAAGGCCAGCCTGACGCTGTTTTGTGTTGATGTGACTCACGACATAAGAGGGGAAAAGATGGGATAGGGTTTCTCCAGGCCTGGCCCTTTAATGATTTCCTTCTCAAATTACCAACAATGGATAATATCACATTAGGCAAACACAACTCCATGTGATGTGAATGATTGTGGATACAAGAGGAGACTTTTTTATGTCAATGATTATTGTGTTGGTTAGAAGAAATGAACAAAAAAATGGAAAGCTCCATTTGGGCTGATTACATCATTGGCGTCATGGTCCCCTCCCCCCAAAAAAGGCTGAGTAAAGAAATCTTATTTTCAAAGAGGACACGAAAAGGAATAATGACCCTGAGTCTACTGACACACCAACTCACAGGAAGAAAAAATAATAATCCCGGGTCCAGCAATGATGTGTAACTATGCGGGACCTCATGCAACAAGCTGACCAGGAAAACACATTTTGATTTGTAAACAAGTTGATTGTAACCATCTGCTAATGGTACTTTGCTCAAAATCACAGTACAGGGTACAACTACCACTCTTACAGATTTCTAAAAAATAAAATAAAATCATACATAATTCCTGAGAGGGGGAAAACTCTGAATAACAACTTTTAAGTCTCTATATATCATTTGAAACTTTGTTGGGGCTCAAAAGGCTCAGGAGCCCTAACAAATGGCCAAACAGAACCCCATTACCGAGCTGTTACAGTGGAAAGACTGGTTTGCTCTGCGCACTTAGGTTGGAAATAAATGTTAAATGAGTTGTGCTGATAGGTCGGATTACACCAATGGCTCTATGATGTTGACCGAAACCGGATACTCTGTGTAAAGCTGTGTACACTAGCCGTATAACTCAACAGGGAAGCTATGATCCATCTTGCATTCAGTCTGAATATTCCCAGTGCATCCTGGAACGTTACATTCCACAACATTCTTCCCAACATTTGATGTTTTACTCTCATCCAACAACCGAGCCCGAGCTACTGCAAGTAAGTTAGCAGTATCTCGGGCTAATCTTAGCAGTGGTTCGGGCTAGTGTTGTTTGTGTTTAGCATTACCACCACCATTTATAATTTGTCAAATTAAAGTGAGTTGGGACATGCCAATTTGAAGGTGTGTCTCTAAGATGATGATGTGTTAAACCAGCTTTTCTCAGAAAAAACTTTCTCCGTGCACTTTATAAAATTTCTCATTTGCATTTAAGAGCTGGCTAGCAACGGCACAGACTTCTTGGTACAATTGACACTCTGATCTGCCCATATTCAACAACAAGGTAATGTTCTATTGAATTCTAGGACCCCTTAAAATGATAAATGACCCGCACTTGTCAGAGTCAGAGGACTCCAAAGCGCTCTACACTACAAACTGTGTATCATTCATCCATTCACACACATTCACGCGGTGATGGTGATGACCTATAACGTAGCCACAGCTGCCCTGCGGCACACTGACAGAGGTGAGGCTGCCGAGCACAGGTGCCACCGGTCCCTCCGACCACCACCAGCAGGCAAGGTGGGTTAAGTGTCTTGCCCAAGGACACAACAGCAGAATTCTTGGAGCCGGGATCGAACCTGCAACCTTCCAATTACTGGACAACCCGCTCTACCTCCTGAGCTACTACTGCCCCAAAGACCAAGTTCACTCATTTTTTTCAGCACAACTGCAGTGGTCTCTAGTATAAATGGATGTATTGTGAATCGATCTCTGCAGGGGAAAAAGCTCTGGTGCTCCTGTTTCAGGAACTAGTGAGCCAAATGAGGTGAGTAGAAAACGGCAGGATTTGGAGTCCTATCTCGCGATAATCAGACATCTCATCTTTGATTGGCCAACAGTAATGTGGCTCTAGCACTGACTCTGTTTGCTCTGCAACACTGATGATTTATCTCCACTGCCTGAAGCAGTTCTGCCATGTGGTGGAGTTGCTAATGCTAACGGTTAGCTTCTACTAGCGGAAACGTTCTTGGCCATTTCCTGGACACTAAATCAACAACAGCCTTCCCCGTTGTGGGCCAAGATGGGTGAATCCATGAGCGTTAACTTGAAATGATGACATGCAAATGTCACTGGCTTTTCTAATCCAAGCATTTTTTTGTCTAGTTTCTATTGACGGCTATTGCAGGATATAGGGGTAGGACACTATTATCACATTTAGTCTATATGTTAAACTCAGTGACCAATTAAATTTAAAAAGAACAAGTAAAAATGGTTTCTCAGTGAACCTGGCCTTTAAAGAATAAAATCAGAAAATACAAATTAATCTTAAAGCCACCTGTGCATGCTCTCTGGTTGCTGTAATCATTCTAACTGGTAGCACTGTAAGCGATGAGGGAACAGGAAACTCCCAGAATCAGTGTTCAGTTCCCAGAATGATATGTAGATAAATCACATCTACGGTCATTTATAACACATAATTATACCTGTGACTTCATTTCATAGATCTGCGAGTTGTCTGGAGTCAGCTGAATAGCCTCGTCCCACTTCTTAACAGCTTCCCAGTGCCTAAAGGAAACACATACTGTGGTTCAGATCCAGTGAAAATACTGAGGTGACTGTCACATGAAACAGTCACCCTAGATTCAGTTTACAGGGAAAGCTGCACAATGTGGTCCACTGTTGTAGGACTGAGCTTCCTAGAGAGATGGTTTGAAGTGGATTTCTGTGAAAAGGTTGTGAACAGTTCTCTATCAACATCTCAATTTGGCAAAGTAATGATTTGATTCTGGTAGCATTGACAAAACAACAGCTAGTAAACCATGCAATAAGGTAAGACCAAAGTAGGAGAGGAGGTGAAGATTCATTCCATCCATCCATCCATTCTCTTCCACTTATCCGAAGTCGGGTTGCATGAGCAGCAGCCTAAGTTGAGAAGCCCAGACTTCCCCCAGCCGGTTGGGCTAGCTCTTCCAGGGATAACACAAGGCGTTCCCTGGCCAGGCAAGAGACATAGACCCTCCACCGTGTCCTGGGTCTCCCTTTAGGCCTCCTCCCGGTTGGACGTGCCCAGAAAACCTCACCAGGGAGGCGTCCAGGAGGCATCCTAATCAGATGCCCGAGCCACCTCAACCGGCTCCTCTTGATGTGGAGGGGCAGCGGATCTACTCCAAGCCCTCCCGGATGACCGAGATTCTCACCCTACCTCTAAGGGAGAGCCCAGCCACCCTGAGATGGGATGAGAAAGAGAAAACTCAATTTGGCCGCTTGTATCTGCGATCTTGTTCTTTCGGTCACTACCCAAAGCTCATAACCATAGGTGGGGGTAGATGCGTAGATCGACCGGTAAATCGAGAGATTTGCCTTCTGGCTCAGCTCTCTCTTCACCACGACCGGTGCAACGCCCGCATCACTGCAGACGCAGCACCAATCCGCCTATCAATTCAGTTTCGTAAATATTATTTTATAAAATTAAAACAGATTTCAATTTTACATTACATAGTTAATCTGGCAGAAACATTGATGTTAACATTAGTCTAATGAAAACAGTCATGAAATGTAAAAGTGATCAAAAGGTTTATAAAACAGTTTCACTGACTTTATTTTAGACAACTGTGGACCACTTTGGTCTCGGCCCTGCTCATCTAGGCAGAACTAATCTGTTTCTCCAAACTGAGGCTGTTCAAAAATCTATCCACTAATGACATTGTTTATAATCTTCCACTTCAGACCATCTGGATTATCTTTAACAAGCAGTATGAATACACTTTGATGAAAACGTGAACCTACTCAGAGCCAAGTGCTCGACATAAAGTTTAGCAAAGCTTTGTCCTGCTAAGTGCAAACAAAACATTCTATTAGGGCTGTCGCGGTTGAGGAATTCCTCCTGCGGTGATTCAGGGTGGCTTAACCCTTTGATGCATGAATTATGAAATCTTCAACCATGATTTTTTTTTACCATTTTTTTCATTCGTCTTTAGGTGTGAATGAAACAAATTTCAACAAATATTTTTTGTAAAATTTTATAATTTACAAATAATTTATTACATGTCCACCTCAGTGGGCAGCGTGCATTCTGAACATGAAATATGTGTTCTTGGCTTACTGAAGTCCAAATGGAGGGGCTCACATGCAATAATGTCTTCAACAGCTGTGCTTAATAGCAAAAACAAAAAAATAACAATTTTAAGTACCTGTCCACTGTAGTGACCATTGTGCATCAAAGGGTTAATATTTCGGTGTGCGATATTATTGCAGCACTTTTTTTTACTGCAGTACTATCTAAACATAATGTTTACACATTTAAAAAAGGTTAAAAATTGCCGTGCCTTCTTTTATAACACTTTACTGAATGCAGATCAAAGGGCAGTAACAACACAGATCGCAGTAACGCTTGTTTCTCCGACAGTCGGAGTCCGACTGAACTTAAAAACAACAAAATTCAGGAGGTTAAACTTTTAAATGCAAATTTGGCTGCAGCATCTAACAAATAAGAAACAAGTCCCCATTTTGTTTAGTTGTTTAAAATCAAGCATAAAAAATTACATGTACCGGGCGCGCCGGGGAGGGGGGGGGGAGGGGGGGCGCACTATCATTTCACTTTCACACACACGAATGACGGTGCTTTATAGCTCGGTCACGTCCTTGTTACCCACAAGGAAAACCAGCGTGTTAACCATATACGGTTTGAGAGAGGATCTGAGAGGGGTGGCAACATTTCCAGCAACACTGAAAACCCTCTCGGATGGTGCGCTCGTTGCACTAACGCACACGTACTTGCGTGCGACTCTGGCGAGCAAAGGGAATCTCTCCCGGTTGTTGCTCCACCATGTCAGGGGGGTTTCTTAGGGTGGATGCATTCCTCCTGCAGGTAGCGAGTGAGCTCCAGCTCGGCTCAAACTCTCTTCGGGACGGTTGCAGAAGCAGTACTTGTCCGGGACTTCAGCAGGTCTCCGAGCGTTTATTATTATTTTTTTGCCGCTGGTGGCAGCTCTGTCTCGGCCAAGGACTCTGGCTGCGCAGCAGCTGACGTACTGAAAACCAAAGTGCTCCTAAAGGAGCGAAGTAACGTTTCGTTTTGATACCAGTGCAGCCATCCTTCTCAACATGCATCATTGGGTTGAACCAAGTTCAGTAATCGCGGTGGCCCATGATGCAGCGCGGTGGGTTTCTTCATATTGCGATATTTCATTTTTGCGGTTACCGCGACAGCCCTACATTCTATTTCTACTTAGAAGTTAAAGTTTCAGAGGTCTTTGTTAGAAAAGTGAACTAGAATCCCCCCCAAAGTTACAATTCTAACATGGAAAGTCGAAGTCGAAGACTGACTAGCCTTGAACGCAAGTTCCAACAAGGCCACCTTGAGCATGAGCATTTGTGATACAGAACGTAATTCTTCCCAATCACGGTTAGCAAACATGTTACTATTAGTGATTGCTACTGCAAAGAAATACAAGGTTTGTATTGCTAAAAATGATTTGCCTGGTCACTCAGCCCAACAGCTAGCAGATCCTACTGGCTCTTCGGCTTGAAACCGGAACCCAGATAAATCTCGTCTGACGTAATTTGCAGATCTCACTTTCGAGGCAAGTGAAACACGGCATCAATCGAGGCCAGCTCAAAGGTTAAGTGACATAAAGCTGGACACCCAGTTCCACCGTCTCCATTTTGACATTTAGTTTCTAATTAAACAGGTGGTTTGCTCAGGTAACAACAAAGTGATTTTCTTTCTGCGAAGAGACTTTCGTGAAATCCACCCGAGACACTGTCGGGCCTAATTCAACCCCTGCCCTGGTGCAGACCTAGTGTGCCTCCTTAAAGTATTGCTTTCAGTTAAAGAATTCCAAGAATTGACTGTTTAACTGATTTGGCAATGGGAAGAAAAAGGCCAAAAGGTTCTTCGGACAATGTGGTTTAGTTTAGTTTGGGTTCATTGTACAAGGACTGCACAAAAGACAATGTTATATGTAAGGGCAATGCAATCGTTGTTTTGTACAGAGGTTTTCTAGCCAGAAGCTAATTTGCAAACCTAGTCCTTGGTTGGACTTTTAGAGACGAACATTGATGTGGACTGATTGAAATTAAAATGCCACAAGCATCCTCCACAGCACTTGTTCGTCTGGCTGACAGAAAGGCAGCGCTAACAAAGCCCACAACAACTTAAACAGGCAACTTCCTGGTGTTCGACAGACAGGCTGCAAATCAGTTTCTCCTCTCAGAGCTGTCATTTTCCAACTGGTGTCTGTTCGAGGCGCTCGTGCAAACACGATTTACATACATTTGGGAAGAAGTCTCGCTAGGCCTTTTCTGTTGCCACTCAAGTTTATCGTTTAGCATATATTAGTTTGTTTTTAAACCAAACTACATCTAAATCATATTCCCGCTCAGTCTGGTGATCCTCACCTTAAAATTGGTTTCCTTACAAAGACAGAAAACATGACGATGGATGAACTCATTTTTTTGGTTTGCGATTTCCATCAATCAGAAAATCTGGTACAATATTAAAAACAACACAATGAAACCGCTAACAATAACCAATTAAATTATGAAGTTCAGATTACTGTCAGAAAACCTGCAAGAACGTTAAATAATGAGAAACGAAACTGGAGCCGTTTGGAAACTTTCCAGTCCTATGAAGCAAGAGCTTCTGTAGAATCACAGGAGGAAATGAAGCAACAGGCCGCGTGTAACCCAAGAGCTAAAGAATGGCTCCTCTCTGGGATTAGGTTTATCTGCGTATGAGCCAAAGGTTGGAGGAAGGAGATGCAAGAGAAGGTGCAACAACCGAGTCTGCATTCATTTAATCGTTTAAATGATGTAAGCAAACATTGATTTACACTATGAAGAAAGACAAAATAATTATAAAATCAACTGCTTACCTGCAGGTTGTTTTTTCTTTAATGAGTTATACAGAAGTGGAAAGAATAATTGGAAATCAGACCACGTTTTTAGATAGCAGTTTATAACAGAAAAAAAACCTATGCTCTGTGTAAAAACCACGATAAAAACTCAAGAGTTTTGTTGCTCATCTTGAGACAAACCATTGATTTCTGTAATTCTCAGAGACTTCTGCACCTGTCAACAGGTGTTCTGATATTCTCCTCATGAGCACGCTGCTCCAGTTGTCTCAGGTTTGACGCATTTTTTCTCCTGACTGCAGGTTTAAGCTCCTTCGACGGGTGTTAAAAAGGATCTACAGGTACAACTCAAAAAATCTGAATATGGTGCAAAAGTTAATTTATGCCAATAATTCATCTTAAAAGGTACATCTAATCTGAGATGGACTCATTACATACAAAGCCCGATATTTCAAGCCTTTATTTGTTATAATTGTGGTGATTATGTCTTACAGCTTATGAAAACCCCACATTTAAAATCTCAATTAGAATTTTGTGAAACGTTTTAATATTCTAGACTCACCGTATCACACCCTAATGATCAGGGATGTCAAACTCTAATTCATACTGGGCCGAAGTGAAACAAACTGGGACTGAGTTGGGGGACAAACTCCTTATTTATTGAAAAAGGTATGGCAAATGTACTCATCTACAGATATGTGTTGTTGAACCTTCTCATTTGGAAACAAACTTATTGTTGCATAAACACTGAATCTGGAATAACCAAATCACACATGAGAGAGTTAATTTTAAAGAAAACACGTCAGTGGTATTCATTACTTATTAAAGGGACTTTAAGGAGTTTTGAATTTTTATGCTCACGATTGCCCCTTCAGGCCAAAAGTGTAATGGCAGCTTCAATAGTAGGCTCGTGCACGAGGCGCGCATGCTGTACGTGCACACTCCTTAACGAAAAAAACAGCTGAGACAGTCCATTGAGTGTGTGTGTGTGTGTGTGTGTGTGTGTGTGTGTGTGTGTGGCCCGGAGGACAGAGGACAGGAGAACGCGCAGCTACTTAATTAAATAATTTGGTTCTGTACCTTTCTCTTCAGCACAGCCGACAAAGGTTTATGATGGGTCAGTCCTCCTGCAAGCTCAGATCATTCCCTTCCCTTGCTTGAAAAATTGTTCCAAAATGAAAGTAGAACCCACATCTTTTTTATCTGTGAATTCAATGCCGTTCGGCGAGTCTCAAATAAAAATTTGGGCATCTTACTGTAAAAAATATACCATTAATGTAAAAAAGAAACTCCAAATAAACTATGTTCACATCCAGAATCGAACCCAGGTCTTCTGCACAGGAGTCCGACATCTTACTAGGTGAGCTAAAGCGCCAGTGACGTCTTTTGTATCTGTAACATTTATATCCTTGATGACAGCTGAAACAACGTTCAAAGAATGGTTCGGAGCGAAAATGGCTATTTTGTTGCTAATTTGCCGGAAATATCTAGAAGAAAGTTTTACAGAAAGTAGCTAAGGGTCCTCAGAAACGTGGCTAGGTTCATCACTAGGCGTTAGGAACAGCGACAAAGTCGCTGAGTTGGCATTACCTCACTCTCTGCTGCTAAAGCTACTGATAGCAAATGCTACGGGCTATGCCTGGGCGTGAACTCGCATGAAGCAGCCTGCTGGACCCGAGCAGCTCTCTTTTTCTGTGATTTTACAGAAAAACAGGCAATCGCAGTCAAAATGCCAGGGCTCATTCTACAGGACCAGGTTGGCTGTCAGACTTCCATAATGCCCCTTTAAGTATCAGGTTTTTTTTTTGGACTTTAAAATGTGTATATATTCAGCAATTTTGAATTTAAAATCTTTAGAATCTTTTAAATTTTTTTTCAAGAGCAGATTACTGAGCAGTTGGAATTTTCCTGTCTGGACTTCGAAGTCGGCAAATTTATAAATTCAGAGGAGTATTTTCAGTTTGTCCGAGAATGAAGAGGCACGCTGCAGACACTGATACTAGTAGCATGGATGCTAATGACTGTAAACAGAAATAAGGGATGTGCTTCCACTCATGCCCTAACATCGCTGGGATTTGTGGTCTTTGCAGCAAATGAGGCGGCAGGCCAGTTTTAATATAAACTTGACATTTAATCTCACGGGCCAAATGTAGCTCGAAGGCCTTAGTTTCACACCTGTGCCTTAGATGGTCTCTCAGTCTAAGTAAAATTACTGAATAAATGGACTTTTGCTTCATATTCTAATATTACGAGTTCAGGGCTAATCGATCGTTTTAGGTCATCCTCCTTCTGAGGGACCCATGACCTGTGACTGAGACCAAACCTTCTGGCTATGGGCAGAACATTTTCATCCAAAACGTCTTCATAGTCTTAAGATTTATTTGAATCCTTAACAGATTCAAGACATCCTGGTCCAGATGCAGCAAAACAGCCTCAGACAAGAACCGAGCTTCCATGTTTCCCAAAAGTCGAGGTGATCGCTCCTTCCAGACTGTCGCACCCCGACTCTGAAATGATCTTCCTTTATCCTCACGCAGCACTGACAGTCTGGACACTTTTAAAAAACAGCTAAAGACCTTAGAAATGAAATAAAATCTATATTAAAATTTAAAATGATTAATATTCTTTTTCATTAAAGATCAGTTATCTGTGAACACATTTTTTAAAATGTATTTTTACATTACATTTAATTATGTGCTTAATATGCTTAATTAAGCAGACATCTGCTTATTTCTAACAGAGCTGAACTGTGAAAGAAAATATTCAGGCTTAATCTTGTTTTCCATCACCTGTGTGTTCAGTGCATTCACTTAATATTAATTATAAAACTATAAATAACAGGTCACTACAGTCTGAGCATAGAAAGCTTGTTCAGCAGCTCACCTGTTCCTTCCACACTGACAGGACAAATCCCCGCATCAGCCGCAGGTGATCATCAGAGCACCACGAGTTAACACCGGCCCGAAAAAACAAAACAAAAAGACATCTAGAAACACGGACCAGACCGGCCCACCGGGAATTCGCCCAGTCGGGTCCTGTTCCGCCCACAGTCCCCATTAGACAGAAGCTGCTCATCACGTTAACTCACACCAGAGCTAGCTCCGTAGGCGCTGATCAGTGCAACTATATTCTACAAAGTTTTCATAAATAAACACACAACTTAGATCTGTGGCCCGTGTTTAAACCATCCACTCCAACCGCGCGCCGGCGTGTCGGGGGTGTGCGTGGTGGAGCGGTGTTCCTGTGTGTGTGTGTGTGTGTGTGTGGGGGGGGGGGCAGCTGCGGGGCCGTTTGTTGGTTTAGTGTGTTGAGAGGGGCGGGTGCTGTGTGTGACTGGCCAAACATAGAATGTGAAGACAGTCAGTTACCCAATTAGGATTTTCCTTCAGCACGGATACAGATATTCACGGGTTTTACTCGTTTTATGCTCGTACTCGTCAAAAATGCTTTATCCGCACCGGATTCTCGTCTGAAACGTGTATCCGACTCAACCCTAGTTTCTAATCTGTCCAGAGGACATTTGCTCAGAAGCTTTGTGGTTTCTTAATATGCATTTCAATTGAATTTTAGTCACGTGTTTTCAACGTCCTGATGTACCTTGACCTTGGAGTTCTCTTCTAATCTCTTTGGTTTCCATTTGTGTTATGTCTCTTCAGTTTGTCGTCATTGGCTTCAGTCCTGTGGATCTTAAATAAATGAATACTCTTGAGCAACTGAAGTCACAGGAATATCAGAGTGCTTGCAGATGACCTTGTTGCCTTTACTTTAGATAATGATCATCTTTCTGATCTCCTGAGAAAACTCTGTCATTAGATTTCTGTGGTTTGTGATCAGTGTGGTACACACCCTAGAACCAAGCATTACTGTGAGTACCTTACAACCTTTAAATAGGCAAACTAACTCACTGAAAGACAGAAGACACCTGCAATGCTAGTTACAAGACACACCTTAGTTAAACATTTCCTTGTGGTCCAATTATATTCAGTCTTTTCCAAGGTGATCATCGTTTAAATCCAGGCCAAACCTGCTATTTCACCCACATCTGTAAAACAATTACATTAAGTAACTGGTGTGTTTGTTAGAGCACATGGCTGCACAGCGGTGCAGTGGTTAGCACTGCTTGCAGCAAGGAGGTCCCCGGTTTGCATCCTGGCCTGAGGTCTTTCTGCATGGAGTTTGCATTTTCTCCCTGCATGCGTGGGTTATGTATGGGTACTCTGGCTTCCTCCCACAGTGCAAAAATATGACCATCAAGTAAATTGGTCTCTAAAAATTGTCCTTAGGTGTACATGTGTGTGTGCTTGGTTGTTTGTCCTGTGTGTCTCTTTGCTGCCCTGCAACAGACTGGCAACCTGTCCAGGGTGTACCCCGCCTGCATGCCCAAAAAATGCAGGAAATCGGCACCAGGCCCCCACGACCCTGCGGGGATAAGCGGGTACAGAAAACGGATGGATGGATAGTAGAGCACCTGGAATAAAATACCTGCAGGAAGTTAAGCAACCCCCTCACAGTCAGATCCACCTCTTCTCTGAAATGTTAAGTCTCAAACGAAAATGGTCATCTGGATTTTTGTAATAAGAACTTCTCATCAAAGGTCAATGTTATTAGCAATGAAAAAGCTTCCCCTGAGCCGTCCCCAACCAGACACCACCTAAAGCCTCTAACCAGCCGTTAAGAAGCATCATTTCCCTAAGATGATCCACTTTCTCTGGGAAAATCAAATTATGAGCAGCAGTCAGTGAAGGCCGTGACGTCACATCCGTCTGCACAAAGAGGTTTTTACAAAACGGTTGCTATTTGGTTAAGAAAGGTCATAAAAGAACTTCAGGACAAAATAACAAGACATGACTTCTTCTCTCGTGTTATACAAACACAATTTTGTGATATTGGTAACTTTTTGTGACGCGTCACACAAACTGACATTTGGGATGGAAAAATGCAAATCTGAGCTACATGGTGGCACGGTTAGTGGCACTGTTGCCTCGCAGTGACAAGGCCGCAGGTTTAATGCAAGCTGCAGCCTTTCTGCGTGGAGTTAGCATAGTCTTCCCTTAAACGTGTGGGTTTTCTCCAAGTTTCATCTCACAGGCTATTTGGAGACTCTAAATTATCTTTGGGTGAGTGTGTGCATGAGTGGTTGTTTGTGTGGCCCTATGACGGACTGAAGACCTGTACAGGATGCCCCCACCTCTCACCCAAAGACCACTGGAGATAGACACCTACTCCCTGGGATCTTAATTATAGAGTGGTTCAGAAGATGAGCAAATCAATAAAAGGTACTACTTATCAATTGCTATATAAATAAAAAATATCCTATCTCAGTTTGACACGAAAACCCATTACATGTGTATGCATACATATCTTTACAATTCTATGCTTTCTGTCTCTGAATTGAAATAAAAAGTTTATCTCGGATAGTAAATGAGTAGAAATTCAAAAGCTGTGGTTCATGGGATGTTCTATGCAATGGTGCCCTCTGGTGAATTGTTTACTCAACAGCAGCTTCGTAGGTAATAATATTGATTACATGTAACAAACAGCACAACTGGCGGAGGAAAGTAAGTGTCAAAAGTGCTTGGGGTGAAATTGTACACACTGAAAAACTCAGAATAAAATTCAGGTAGAAAGGTGTAGTAAGAAGCTTATTGACCTCAGACGGTTTGTGTATCTTTCTGTAGGTGTGGTTGATTCTCTGTGCATATCACCTGCCCTCCTCAGCCAGCAGTGCGCCCTCATCCTTCAGCCTTTTGCTCTTTGCAGCACAGTCGTCCAGCAGGACCTCCCGCCGTCGTTTGATGGCGTGCAGCCAGTCCACCTCCTCGTCCGCACCTGCTCCATCCTCCTCCTCGAGTTTTTCCGCTTCAGCCTCAAACTGCTGCACTGCGGACTTTGACACCCTCTCACCGATTTTCCTCTTCCACCCAAACGAAGCCATCCTAATTCAACCATTCAATTAACACACGTGAAGCTCTCATTAGATTTTCTCTGGTGGACTTTTATTTTGAAATTTTTGCTAAACTAGCATATTACCTGCCTGGCCTGGCGAGCCAAACTAAATTAGTTTCAGTAACTTTAAAATAGAACAAAAAGCCACATATGTAACGACCACTATACTAAAGATTGTATGAATACCGTAGTTAAAATAAAACAGCTGTCAAACCGACGCGACATTGCTAGCTAGCGTTAGCTTTGGAAGCCTAGCAGCTAACGACTGCGTTCGCTCTACGAAGCTGCGCTTACCTTTGCTTGGCATGTTTATAATATGCATAAAACCAACAAACAACTGGAGAAATTGTATGTAAGCAACTATGTCCGTGACTAAAAATACGTACGTTTGTTGATGGTTGAACCTAGTAACGAACCATATTTTACGACCTTTGATGGAGCGTTCAATTTACGTCAGTAAACCCAAACATTCATTTTACATAATTACTTTTTCTCCCGAGGGTTTAACATTGTAACTCTCTTAAATAGTAAGTTTAAGCGAATTCATTAAAATTATGTTTTGTAGAGACTACACACTATAAATGTGCACGAGTATTACAAATTTCGCTTTTATTTTTTGTCTTGCAGTTGTATTTGAAGGCAGCATAACCCGGAAGCCATAATTGTGTTTACGTCATTTTGAACACTCCACCAAACTCATGAACTATGAAAAAAAAATGAGTATGCATTGTCGCTACCCGATCCGTACCGGAAACCCGATCGGTACCACGCATGCGCGAAAGGCTTCTACTTCCGCTCGAAGCATTTTACGATAGTTACGGGTCAGAGTATCTGTTAAGATGTTAAAAAATAATAAGTATCTATTTAAATGTTTGCAATAGTGAAACATTTCAATTTAATGTAGATAAAAATGAAAAAAAAAAAAAAACGTCGGACCGTACAGATCGGGTCTACCTGATCCGTACCGCGCATGTGCAGATGCTCTATTCTTCTTGTGATCCGTTCAATGGCAGTTTACTCCGCAGTGTACGAGGATACTGCCACTTGCTGACCGAGTGAATTAGCCCGATTGTAAACTGAATTTGCGTTGTTACAAATCATGTTTTTATATGCGTGTTAAATTTGATTTAGCGTGTTTATGCTTGTATGTGTGGAGACGATTGATTTGAATTATCTTGATGTTATGTTGATAATGTCCACTGTAAATTGTCAGTAAACACTGGCTGATTAGTCTTCAGGTAACCTATTACATGTTTGTTTTTTCTCCACAAAATAGGTTATATTTTCATTTAAAAGATGAAAATGTGTCACTGTGATACAGCAGATATTCTTAATTTGCACTACATGTCCTATGAATGTTTTCCAATATGAAATGTAATATATTCTTGCACAAAAGCCAATTTGGCTCATCACCTAAAATTTGTTTACTTTCTACTTTTGTGTTAGATTTCTTCGTTTGCCACTTTGTCTTGAAATAACTTAATTCTTTGTAATACCATAGTGATCATTTTCACAATGTTGCAAAATTAATGTTTGAAAATAGTTTCTCAAGGTATTCATAAGTTAAACATGTTAAATACAGATTTAACTACACTCATGTTTATATCCATATAAAATAACACAGGACCACTTTATAATTTCCACAGGTTTACTGTAATAATGCGGAACACAAACAACAGATTACAAGAGCATGAACAACAGCAAAAGGATTGAGAGGATGGTTACAACCCAGATTATTTGAATAAGGAGATACATATTGATGGAAATAAAAAGCTTTTTATTTTCAGCGTGCCCTTTCTGGCAGTGTGGTACTCTGAGTACCAGGTACAAGCCCAACAGATTCACTTTCTCAAACAGAGTGTGACAGTGTGAGTGTCCTGTCACAATGTCCCGATTGATCATCCTTGATCAGTCCCTTTGGCTGACTGGTTAGAGTGTATGACTCTCACCCGGGAGTCTGGGGATCGAATCCCGCCCGGGCCCTCGTTTATCCACCTTGCCACAAGAGCATTACAGTTTTTGCTATAGTACTCCAAGAAGAATGATCAAAAACTCTCACAAAACTCTCCAATATGTCCATTAGGACACGTTCTGGTAACTGCAAAATTTATGCCACGTGACAATAGTGAAAATACAAAATTTGTCCATAAAGTTTCAGAAATATGAGGACTGAAAACACATTACATTGAGTAGTGTTTCATAACTATTACTTCATTCTACTACTGGATAATGTCTCTGAAGGAGCTGCCTGTGACCATAACTACTAATTCAGTTATATCAACAAATGAAAGAAACAGGAAAATCAATAGATTACCTCCAGTATAAGACACCTGTCAGCCTCAGCCTTTAACAGAAAACATGATTATCACATTGGACTGAAATGAAGACTACCACCATGTATGTAAACCTGCATTGTGATGAATAGTCTCAACATTGTGTGGTTCTGTCCTACAAATAGTTATCTGATTGTTGTCCTCTCTCACCGGTCTGATTAGACTTGGTGAAGGCTTGGAGGAGGTTGCCTTTGGTACCCTGAAGACAGGCTGGAGAGTCCCCTGGAGGAGAAGGGATGCTTCTTCTGTCCAGAAGGCAAATCTTTGTCCATGCCTTTAGAAAACAACGCCAGTCTGAATGGACTCTAGTTGTGGACTGTTGCTTTCTTCAGTATGTTCGGTCACAGGGTTTACAGTAAGCCACTTTCACAAACATCTGTTTGACCTGATGTCTTGCCTGAACCAAAGCTGCAAATATGATGGTGCCAGTTTGTCTAAAGTGCCTGCCATACCCCTCAATGCCGAATCTCTCCAGCAGCTGAATACACCACCACAGGCGAATTGCTGGCATTTCCTCCTGAAGACAAATATAATGTAAGGTTTATGAAGACTGGAGACTGGCACAGATACTTTGGTGGTACTGTCTGAAAAAGCTTACCTCTGTGAAAGATGGTGGAGATGAGGTGCAGATGCAGAGAGCATACTGTAAAGTAAAATCAATCTTTAACATGTTAAAATGTTATATTCAAGTAATGGCAAGAAAATTCTCACCATCAGCATAAAGATGCCGCAGCAATTTCCCATGAACTGCTGGGGAAAGAACTGTAAAAAGAAACATGTTTCATTAAATGAGGAGAGCTGACATGCACCTGCTAGTTGTTAATTGCATTATGATGCACCTGATGAGCTTTCAAACTTTTGCACTGAAAACATACCTCAAGGTCTCTTCCTGTTTTCTCCTGACAGAAGCACGTCATCGCCTGCTTGAACAACACACTGCCTTACTAGCTTCCTTTTCCGTGTTCCAAAGGTCTTCCTCTGGGTGTCCTGTGCCCTCTCAATATTGCGAAGAACCTACAAAAACATTACATGAAAAGCAGAGAAATATAAATATAAATATTTATTATTCACCAGGTCGCCATGGCAATGCTCATTCTGGAAATATAGAAATACAGAAAAGTTAGCTACTAAAGCAGTAAAAATGTTGAATACACTAACCACATTTCCCCTTTTTTCCTCAACAAGTCTCCTTTCCCTGTCAGTCAGCCCTCTTCAAATGTACAGACTGTTTCATTCAGAACCGTCATCTCCTCAACTCTTGTGTCGATGTCCACTTCTGGGTCTGCAACCTCAAAGTCATCGTCCATGGGACAGGTGTTCATCACAGCAGGAAGACGTGGATGTCGGTAGAAGAGCAGGAAATAGGCACTGTGGCGGGTGGAGTGCTGATCACACAAAATCTCTCCATTAATTCATTTTCTCTTGCACTTGTCAATAACTTCTTTTTTTTATAAACAAAATTAAAAACATTCTTAAGACGATGCTACACTGTGAAGCAGCGTAAAAGTCATACAAAATGTCAAAATAGGAATACCTGCTTTGCAGTGTTGATGCCGTACACCACAGCAGCAAGGTGAACGTCCCAGTCGTCATGGTTCTGGTTCACGTACTTTCTGAGAGCACGCTTAATGTTCTGGTTGGTCCTCTCATCCTTGAGTTGTATTGCAGAATAGATAAAGAAGCATGACTGATTTCCCATGAGTTACTCAAGGTTAGATATCCAAATGCTAACCTGCCTGTTGGTCTGGGGGTGGTAAGCACTGGAGACTGCATGTTTAATATTCAGCAAGCTGAAAATGCTGTCGTTGAGCTGCAGTGGCATGAGCAGACTTGGTCTAAATACATCATCTCAAATGTCAAGGTACGACTAACACTTTCACAAATTTTACCTGGTTCACAAACTCCTTTCCTTGGTCAGTGATGATCTTCCTCACCATGCCAAACATGTATAACTTAGACGTCATGACTGCAGAGACCTCAGCAGCAGTCTTGGACTTAAGAGGTTCTGCAATCACCCAGAACGGTCATGGTCAGGACATATCGGTTCCCTAGACGTGTTTCTGGGAGTGGTCCAATTAAATCCATGCCCAGCAACTCCCAAGGTTCTCTTACCTGCAGGTCACAGAACTTATCAAGTGAAAATTTAAAGCTAACCTGCAGCAGACAAGCTTATTAACTTGAAAATTAAATGTAAATAGCTTTAAGATGTACCTTGATGGGATGTAATGTTGGTGCCACGGTCTTGATTGGGTCATTCATCTGGCAGCGATGACAACATCTGACCTGAAAGGCGTATTCCAAACAATATGTCTAGGAAACCCTAAAGCAGCTGATGTAAATTGATAATAAAATAAAAAGACAGAAACTAATGTTGAAATGTAAGTGTGCAAGTAAACACATTCAATTATTCAGCCTACAGATGTTTTAGAAAAAATTATGACGACCTGATTTAGCTTCTTCACTCAAATAAGGCCATTACCCATTCACTGATGTCCTGGTTCAATGTTGGCCAGTAAAAGCCAGCAACAACCATGTTTCGGGTACCTCTGACACCATTGTGGTTCCCGGTACCAGGGTTATTGTGGCACTCCATCAAAACAGGCTTCTTCTCCTCCTCTGACATGACTAGCAGGCGCATGCTCTGCATACTGGGGCCAGTGTAGAAGAGTCTGTTGTCTGGAACAAGATAAAAATGAAAAAAAAAAAAAAAAAGATGAGAGTTGCTGACTAAAGTAAATTGAAATGTCTGACAGATATTAAAGTTTGAGATCAGCACCAATATGGTACATTTACCTCCAATTGCAATTATCTTTAAAAAAATATATAGGCTATATATATATTGTATTTACGATTTTAAAAAAAATCTAAAATAAGACCACACACCAAGATGTAGACCTATATATAGAGTTTCGATATTACAGACGATGCTACACGTATACACTGTACACTGATATTACTCGTTACACCCTCCTGAATCAACGCAGGCGTCATGCAACTTTAGAACAATAACGGAGAGTCTGTACCCTCAAGCAGCAAGGGCAGCTGTAGACCATGATAAAAGATCATCTTTAATTTTCGTACTTACCTTTAAGTCTGTAATTAGGCGCCACTCTTCTTATTTTACGGCGCTTTTGTTCAATCGTCGGAAGCTCTCCGTTGAGGAGAAAATCATGAATTTCGTTGGTTTCGGAGGTATTCATTGTTTAAACGTCCCGCAGTCGGTAACTGTCGCAAAGTTGGCAAAGAGAGGAAGTGACGTAACATTCGCGCATGCGTGGTACCGATCGGGTTTCCGGTACGGATCGGGTAGCGACATGCATTATGGAAAATGATAAAAATTAATTAGAAAAAAGATCCTTATAAAAATGTATGTAAAAAAACTAGTATGAAAATGTGCAAATGTAATAAAACTACTTTTTACACTGACTTTCAAGTGTTATTCTGCTCAAAAATAACACTAATACAATTTTGCATTACTAATAAATCAAAATGTAATCATGAAAAAGATTCAAAGACAGCAGTGTGCAATTTATTAGCATTTATTAGGCAGTTGCGTATACAAATGATTCAACACTTTCATTCAGATTTACACTGATCAATCCGATAGGGTCCATTCTCACTCCAAACAAAAATAGAGCTTTTTTAAAACTATATGAAGCTGTTCTATCAGACACTGAACCGAACAGCCTTTTAGGACACTTCATTTTCTAAAAGCTGGCAAAAATTTGTATTTTTTGCACACATTCACCTGTTTTCAACAAAACCCATCATATAAGGCATGGCAAGTTTTGGTCAATGCTTGCAACTGCCCTCTAAAACTAACGTGAGTGTTAACATTTTACAACGCGTCTGCAAGACCATAAAGTTTTCGTCTTCAAATGGATTCTTTTTTTATTAACTCTGGCTTAAAACTGAGATAAAGACAAACTAAACATTTTTGCCATACCTGCCATACAGTACAAGAAAATATGATCACAATTATCGTCACTCTTAGCAAATTTTAAAGGAGAATCATTAAATATCTAAAAATGTGTAGATACATTCATCCTGGATTTCAAAGATCTGTAGAGCCGAAACTGGAAAAATCCAAACGCTGACAAGTTTTAAACAAATATCTAACTTTTAGGAATTTTTTTTGGTAGAAATGAGAACTTCTCCAAAAAAATAAGTTACTTTAATTTACAAAATTAGAAATCAATTTTACATCTACTTCAGTTTTTCTTAAATTCCAACCATCATCTTTACAGGCAGAGATGAATTACAGATATTTTGGCAACATGATCCCATGTGTAGATTATGCAGTAAAATCCAAAACATCTCTAGAATATCGGACTTAACTTGGTGAGCTGATGCTGAAAATATAAAATATGAACTTCAACCTTTAAAATTGCAGAGGTTACCAATAATTCAGGCCAGCAAAGGGCTCAAACCTGACATAAAAACTGATAAACAGTACGAATAATAAGGCAGCCAAATGGACACCAGTGAAAACCTTTAAGACTAGACAGGAAATGGAACAAGATCATACATATCCAAGACTCTTACCTTGCAAATTCTTTTACTTATTTTGTTCTGTGCCACAGGTTTACTAGCTCGCTTTTATTCTTCATCTTTCTCACCATTTACAGTACCAGCAATGATCTGGTTCAGGTTTAAACAAACGATGTGCAACCTTTAAAGGAATGTGTGAGCGAAACATAAATGATGTTGACGGACGCCGTTGACGCACTGCATTCAATTGCTGCTCGTTTAAAATTGAGCACAGAGGCCTGAACACACGTGACTGATTGGCATTTCATCAAATGAATGTAAGCAAAAGACATCCCATCCAGTAATCATACTCCATAATCCAAAAGAAAAGAAAAAAATCATAATCAACTTGTCACTGTAATAAACTGATAATGATATATTTCTAGACGTTGACCGTCGTTGCAAAACACCTTCTAAAAAGCAGACTAGTTCTCTAGAAAGACAATCAAGTATCTGAATAATTGTGATTGAGGGAAACAAAGGTGTGACACTGAATTAAAAACAGCTAAAAATGATTATATATTTAAACATCCAGCATTAGAGCGTAATGAAAGAAAAAACAAGTCATTGGAACCAAAACTCCATCCACTTAATGCATTGATAAATATTTTCAGGTATTTATTTATAAAAAAAAATATAAGTCGGAGCTGGACAATCGGTCACGACGAGGACAGAACCATGAACATTTAGTCTTTGACATTTAACAAAATAAAACCCAACATGGAGCATTCTTAAGTCCCTGACACGTACCAGAACCACAGAGGCCACTGCACTAATGTGATGTGATGGGAATGAAACGCTGCAGCGCTCTGGGACGTCGGCACCGCTTCTCTGATCCCTACTGAGGAAAAAAGGTAATAAAAAATAACAAAGCAGCAGAAAATTACAGAAACTTGTGCAAAAGTGCTTCCTGCATCCTATGAACATCACTCAATCCTCAACCTGTGGCTCCGCCCCCTCCCCGCAGCAGGTAAAAAATAAAAAAAGTGATCTTGTTCTCTGTACTGAAAAGCAGGCCTTGCAGGCTACAGCACAGAACGTTCAGTGTAATCACTTCTGCGTAATTTGTAAGTTGGGATGTTGATATCTGCTTTTAAACAGATTGAGAAATTTAAAGACCTCCCCCTCCCCGAAATGTTGTTTCCTGCTCTAGCTAGCTGGGTAGCGTAATCTCAACAACTCCTAGAGACCCAGTCAGCTCTGTATGTTTCCCCTCTGCACAGAGAACACCAACCTGCATGAGCGCCACGGAACAATCACCTCATCCTCAGTTGGGATGAAGTAAGCCATGAATCTGTTCCATGCTTATTGCTATAAAGACACTCAGAGAAGAAAAGGCTAGCGATGATTGTTTTTGCAAGCTATCGTGCAAGTAGTTTAATAAGATTCGCGCACATTTCAAAGAACTCGATGGTGTGGCTTCCTGGTCGAGGGGTGTTCTCCCCTCCCCCCGTCGAGTCGATGGACGAGGTCGAGGATGACCCTAAGGACCCTTCGGCGGTCTTGGTGGGCTGCACAGTGCTAGACGTGGCTGAAACGTCCGCCCCATCGACATCGTTCTTAGTGGTGGTGCGGTAGTTGCTCACAGAGCCAGAGCGGAGCGGGGTAGCAGTTCCAGACTTTGTCTCCACCATTTCATCTAAATAAAAAAGAAAAACTTTTTTTTTTAATGTATCCAAAAACAGCTCAATCGAGACCAAACAAAGGTAACATTTGAAAGCCCGCATGGTAAAAGCTGTGTGTACAGAAAACACATCAAACTTCCCAAAGGCCAATTTAGTGAACCCTTTCTTGCTCACTGTCTCGAGTGAAAACATAAATCTAACAAGTCGTGTTTGACTTTGATGACGTAAGTCTAGTTTTACCTCAACAACCTTTATACAGCACGCCTGTCCCACATAAAACACTCCGAACATTTCCCTTTCAGGTCCGTTCAAACAGCACAGACTTCCAAAGCCTTGAGCTGCACGTCAATCATTTATGAAATCTTTAGCAAGGCTCCAAACTACAGATCAGCACTGCGGACACGCAGGGAGCCACGCTCCAGCGTCAGCATTAGACAGCTTGTTGTTTGTTTGTTGGGGAATTCCTAAAAAAAAAATCTGACAATTAAAAAAACAAAAGTTTTGTAATAAAAACATTTTGATTCCCCTCCAGAGCTTTATACTTAGAAGTTGGGTTTCTTCTTGTAAATACACGAGTCAGACATTTTTGCCTTTTTTTTCTTGCACAAGTCAAACATTTAACAATCACAGTTAACGTTTTTTCACTTTCTGATTTTTCACACTTTTCTTGCAAATGTCTAAAACAAAAATGAGGAAATGAAGAAAATACCTCCCAAAAAATGTGACGTTCCTGTTTGAAATAAAACATTTTCACATTGGGATTACACACTTTTAACCCCCCCCCCCCCCCCAGCTAAATGAATAATATTTATAATCTGCAGCAGCCTAGTGCATGTAGGAGTCATATGTCTGGACAGCAGTCCCTCTCTAAAGGACACCGGGTCTTGGTGGGTTAATGAGTGAAGAAAAGCATCTCTGTGTTAAAGTTCAACACAACAAAAGGTTATTTAGTTCTAATTAGTTACTAGCTTTTAAATAAATGTACTCTATGGTTTCAAATTCAGCTATCTTAACTATTTTCACTGCAAACAGCATGATTGACGTTTTTGTATCAACACAAAGCGTGTCAGAAATTCTGGCTGTTGCCATAACAACCAGGAGGACAACTGCTGTCCTCGTCTTTTCTCACATTAAATATATTGTTCAACATTGAATTTGACCACAAATCCAACTTCTCTGACATGCAGTCTCGACTGTATTTCCTCATCATTTTTGTTTTGTTTGGAAAACCGACTCTCCTCCAGACTGTGCTGTTATACATTCCAACGAGTGTTGTTTATTTTTTTTCACTATCACACCATCAGCTGATAGGATGACAGTTCAGCGTGCGGCCGCTCGGAGCAGCGTGGGAAAACTTACCATCTATGCTACGAAAGTCAAGGAGGTAGGTTCTACTGTCCACCTGGTACAGTTGAAGGCTCATCTTGGTTTGCATTCCAGTAACGGGATTCTTCCTCCTCACGCGCAAATAATACGGGTTCACCACCTGGAAAAGTTTGAATGAAAAGAGGAATTGTATTTTTTTCATGCGACTCGGGTAAAAACAGCTTTTTGAACATATTTAACAATATTCCAGAGTTGTTTTCCTCCTAAAGACTTTGCCGTTTACCTTCCACTCATAATCCAGCTGCTTCATGGCCCGACACACTTCCGTCATGATATCATTGGGCCTGCTCTGACTGCGGATCCCCAGGTGCCACTTAGCCCTCCTGACGCCCTGGTGCTTGGACTTCTGGGGGTTCAGTTCATCCAGTGTGTGGCGAGGCCTGGGAGGAGTCTCTGCCAGCAGAAAGGGCACGCGCTCCGGATGGGGTTTGGCGATGCCGGCCACGGCCGCGCCGGATGATGTCAGGTGCTGGTCGTCTAGGAAGGAGTCGGGCGGGCTCGACGCCAGGTAAAAATCCTTGGCTTCGCTCATGATGCGGCGATTGTCGATGATGAGATGGTAGGCGACGGCTAATGGATCCTGGTGGTTGCGGCTGTATAAGCAGGTGAGGACCTCCTCCTCTGTGCACTCGAACTTCTCACAAACTTCCTTTAGGGCCTCGTCGTCAATCATGTTGTTGCTATAGGACGGGTCCTCGGGGAACAAGTACTTGGGTAGGTCCTGTTTAAACCACTCATCCTCTCTGTGGGGAAAAAATGCGGCGTGAATAAAAACCACGGATCATCGTTTATCTGTGTCAAATTAGTAAACGTTCTCATCGGGCTTACCGGATCTCTTTAATAGTGGCTCTTTTCATTGGGTCCACTTGCAGCATGTGCTTTAGGAGGCTAACTACTTGAGGGTTCAGGTACTGCGGGGTGAAAAAGATCCCGTCGCAGATCTTTTTAAAAAGTGTTGGCACGTGATCATCGTCGAACGGGAGCGTCCCACACAGCAGAGCGTAGAGGATGACACCGCTACTCCATATATCCACCTCCGGACCAGCGTATAACCTGAACACGAGCACAAATACGCCACTGTAAAAAACACAACGTTCGACTCTTCTGTGTTTGTGTTCACAATAATAAAAGATGGCATTACCTTCCTGAGATGACCTCGGGAGCAGCGTAGTTTGGAGAACCACAACTTGTTCTCAGGAACTCTCCGTCTGACATCATGTTTGACAGACCTGCACAGCAGTTTGCACCATCATGGCAGGGCAATTCTACCGGATACTTCTAAAATGTAATAATCTATTAAAGCGACTTTTTTCCTTACATTATAATAGTTCAATGGTCAATATAAAACATGTTAAGATTTTTAATTGATTATTACTGATATTTCAGTACCTTCCAGAATGAGCCATTTCAGGACTCTGTCATTTAAAGAAAAACAAGCTGGGGGGGTGGGGGTGGGGGGTAGGCCCACCCATCCACCGGCTGCTATAAGCTGAGAAGTAGGGCTGAATGATTTTGAAAAATAATCTAATTGCGATTTTTTTCCTTTAATATTGCAATTGCGATTTAAAGCTTCTTTCCGGAGTATTTCTCGTATCCGATGGCACCATCTAGTGGCTGACAAACATCACACACAAAAACTCTGTTGCATCGGTTTGTTGAAGATGGCGACTTCACGTTTCTGTTTATAAATGTGCTTCTGTAGCCGACAAACAGAGCTAAAACACTGTTGTAATACTGTTTTACGAGTATTATTCTCAAAAGTATTGGAATTTTAAACAAAGTCAAAGGTTTTCTAGAAATTTCAACGCTTCAGACATTACATTACTCATTTATCTTACCATACTTAACTTATTGTATTGAGGTTTGGGGCAATACGTATAAAACAAACACTAATCCTTTGTTTCTGTTACAGAAGAAAGTTTTGCGAATTCTATATAAGTCAAATCCAAGAGAACATACTAACAAATATTTTGTTCTATCTAAAATTATGAAATTCAAAGACTTAGTTAACTTGAAAATTTTACTAATTATGTTTAAGGCTAGAAATAATTTGCTGCCAACTAATCTACAAAGGTCCTTTGTTTTGATCCCAAAAAATGATAAGAGTAGAAAGAAACCAGAGTATAAAGGATATTTGTTCGTACTACATTAAAGCAAATGTGTATTTCAATATATGGTGTGAAATTGTGGAATAACCTGGATGATGAATTAAAAAAAATGTACAGCTACTGATCAATTCAAAAAAATGTATAAAGATAAAATGCTAAAATCGTATGATTTGGTGAGTTGAGGATGGAGGATCAATGTTTTAGTAGTGATATTATTTGTGGAAGTAAGAGAGCGGTTTATTTTTTGTGTACAAGGCTATTTTGTACTTTTTGTTATTTATCTTGTCAGTTAAAGGGGGTAGGTCATATAAGATTTTTTCTTCTTCCTCCCCCTATTTCACTCGAATGCTTATATTCTGATTTGAAGTTTGTATATTTAAACTTTGAGTGAAATAAATTATTGAATTGAAATGAATTGAAGTTATGTTGTGTTTTCATATATTTATATGTTAGAGACTTACTTGTCCGTGAAAAGTTCATCAAACCTGCATCAGCCGAGTCATTTCTTAAATTTGAAGCAAGTAAGCGGTAGTCTAACGTTATTGGTTAGTTCTGGTCGGCGTTCAGTTTCCTATTGCACGGAGCTCTGTGGGGCAGGAGGCGTGCTTAGCAAAAAATAAATAAAAATGACGTATTGCTTACATTACATGATAAGATAATCACTTTTACGGATTTCTGACATGACAAATACATAATTTCTGAAAGGGGAAAACTCCGGAAAGCAGCTTCAATTCACGATTATTTTCTCAAGGGGCTTTACTCATAATTTTCAACTAACAGAAGAAAAAAAAAACAAACTATGCAACTAGTACTGAATATAAACAAGTATATATAGCTACATATCTTATCAATAAGTTTATTTGTCTACATATACATAAACACTCACAAGTAAAGACAATTTTTGTACTTGAAAGTGCAAAGCTGATTTAGTGTGTCTACCTGTGTACCCCTCTGGGACAAACGGACAAGATTAAAATCTACACAAAACCCTTTAGGGATGGGTACCGAATTCGGTACTTTTTAAGGTACCGACCAAATTCCATAGTACCGACTGAGCACCGATTCACGTCATTTGAAACGGTGCCTCGTTTCGGTACTCGTCCTTCATAACGAGAACTTGCCAAGACAGCTGCGCATGTGCAAGAGCGTTATGTCGGTCGCTGCGAGCGAGTTGTAAACAGAGCAGCATGGTAGAAAGAACGCACGCTAAAGCTTGGGTCCACTTCACTAAATGTGATGGGTAACTGGGTGATGATGAAACCAGCGACAACGATCTAAGTGAGACATCCTCATCTTAATCTGCTCCGGTAGGTAAATATAATTAGCTTGATATGTTAGCTTCCGTTTCGCTAATGGTGCGTTCGCTTTCTCCTCGGAACTGCAAATTTCCGACTAGAAGAAGATGAACGCGCTCTAAAGTTTGGCTTCACTTTACTAAATGCAACGGGTGATTGGGTGAAGATGAAACCAGCGACAACGATCTAAGTGTGAGGCATCATCGTTTTAATCTGCTCCAGCAGTTAAATAAACTGTTTAAGATAACGTTAGCTTGATATGTTAGCTTCCATTGCCACCGTTGTTATCAGCTAATGGTTTGTTCGCTTTCTTCTCTGAAATTCTAACTTTCCAGTAGGAAAAATCAAATGAAAAAGGACGGCAAAAGGAATGAAGATACACAGTAAATGTAGTTCACAGTAAAGATGTTTGCTTCAGTTTAATTATCAGCTTATAAAACTACAAGGACGATGTTAAAATACAAACAGCTGAATGTTATTTATCGTGATATTTATCAAATATGGTTATATATTGAGGAAAATATATATTTAATTATAAAAGAGAATTAAAATATTAAACACTAAAAGTATCGAAAATTGGTACCGTTAAGTACCGGTATCGATTCCTAGGTACAGGGAATTAGTACCGAATCGATTCAAATGTCAAAGGTACCCATCCCTACAACCCTTCCAAAGCCTTTGTTGAGATTTTCCCATCTGGATTAAAATCCATTCACACCAGCAATAGTTTTCTCCTTCCTTGAGTTTGCGGACATATTTCTGGCATAGCTACAGCCAGCAACTGCTAACTAAAAAGGTGTTATAACGTCTCATCTCAAGTGCGTAATAATGCTCTCAAACTCACACACAGAAGACATACTGGAATCTTCCCATAACCACAGAATGCTTGTTGTACAACCAGAAACCACAGAGTTTACCTTTGTGATCAGGAGCCAGCTCCACCTGCTCACGCTCCCTGGTTTATTTCTCAAAACTCACCAAAATCTGCAATCTTTGCATTCATGTGTGCGTCGAGCAGCACGTTCTCGGGCTTGAGGTCTCTGTGTACCACCATGTGCCTGTGGCAGTAGTCTACAGCTGAAATGATCTGCTGGAACAGTCGACGGCTCTCCTTTTCTTGCAGCTGTTGCAGCAGAAACGACACATTAGGTGTGATTTTACCTGTGACTAAGCAGCAGTCAGGACACCGCTGAGACTATCAATACACGCAAGCACGCGCACACACACACACCTCTAAGGACAGCTACAGTATTGGCGAGTATTACCTTTCCATTCTTGCAGATGTAATCGAAGAGCTCTCCTCCGGAGACATACTCCATGACCATGAAGATATCAGTAGGGGTACTAATAACTTGATATCTGCAGTAATAAAAATACAGGTAAAATAAAACAGCAGAGGAATACAATACATTTAAAACAGGTCAAATTGCAAACACTTATTGAGCCTGATGACTTGCATCTGCACGACTCACCAAAATAGGCACATAACACCGTGATTTACGGCATGTCAGATAAATAAAAGAGAAAGGCCCAAATAAGTAACTCCCTGTTTGTTGTTGCTTTATTTTTATAACTTGCTACCAGTAGAACATTTGGCTTTTCTACACTGACTGATCAGTCACCTGTAGTTAAAACTGGGCGGGGCATGTCAACAAGCTGTTGGCATGATGCAAAACGTTGTTATTTTAGCCCAGATGAGGGCTCTGCCCCGCAGAGCAAAACATTTAGTCACTTTCCACTTTCTGAGGTCTGAATGTAAATGAAGAGGAAATGACAGTGCTGCATTAACAAAGGTACAGCGGAAAATATTCAGACCCCCGTCAATTATTGCAGCCATTTGCTAAAATAAATGAAATTTCTTTTTCTCTCATTCATGTACACACTGGACCCCACACTGACAGAAAAGCACATACATTTTAGAAATGTATGCAGATTTATTTTAAAAATGACAAACTGATGTATTTCATGGTCCTAACTATTCACATCCTATGCTGTGACACTCATATTTCACTCAGGTGCTTTCCATGTCTTCTGATCATTCTTGAGATGGACCTACACCTTCATTTTAGTCCAGCTGTGTTTGATTATACTGATTGCAGCCTTGCCTGCTGGTGGTGGTCGGAGGGACCGGTGGCGCCTGTGCTCGGCAGCCTCGACTCTGTCAGTGCGCCCCAGTGCAGCTGTGGCTACATCGTAGCTCATCCCCACCAGCGTGTGAATGTGTGAATGACTGATTGTGTTGTAAAGCGCCATGGGGGGTTCCAGGACTCTGGAAGGTGCTATATCAAATACAGGCCATTTACCATTTCAGTGTGCCAGACACATGAAAGTCCACACAGAGTTTCTAAAAGACACCTGAAGGACCCCGAGATGGTGAGGAATAAGATTCTCAGGTCTGATGAAACCAATATATAACTTTTTGACCTTAATTCCAAGGGTGTGGAGAAAAACCAGGCACTGCTCATCACTTGTACAATACATTCCTCACTGTGAAGCATGGCGCTGGCAGCATCGTGATGTGGGAGTGTTTATCACCTCCAGAGACAGGACCACTGGTCTCAATCGAGGGAACAATGAGTGCGGCCAAGTACAGGGATATCCTAGACAAGAACCTTCTCCAGAGTTCCCAGGACCTCAGACTGGGCAGAAGGTTTACCTTCCAACAAGACAATGACCCCAAGCACACAGCTACAAAACGAAACAGTGGCTTCACAGCAACTCTGTGACTGTTCTTAAATGGCCCAGCCGGAGCCCTGACTTAAATTTGGTCAAACTGCTGCAGTATAACAAAGAGTGAAAAATTGTGCCTCAATTATTTACAGCAACATGTGTGAACGGAGGCTGGTACTAGGGCCCGACCGATGTTGGGGTCATTAACAGTATCGGCCATCGACCAAAAAGACGGCCGATATGGCCGATATTGCGCTACCTATCCAGCAGATGGCGCCAGCTTTATGAACTCATGTTGTGTGGCTCCACTCCTTTGAACTTTGAACACAAATTATTGTTTTGGAACTTTTTATTTATTTATTCTTATTTATGTTTCTTATGTGCAATTATTTCCTGTCCAGGGTGAATAAGTTCACCAAGTTAACTTCCACAGAGTGTTACTTTGTTACAAAGCACAAGTATTACGTTTTATTTATTGCTGCATTTTTATTATTTTAATATTCTTATAGGGATCTTCTGTCCCTAAACTTGTGTGTGTTGTTAGATTCCCCAGAGTTAGCTAAGTCAGAAAAAACATGTTGTAACCAGTTGTTTTAGCATGGAAGGGAAGGCTTGCATTCACCTATGTAAAAAAAACTCTAAAATGTATGTGAATTCACTTACATTGTTTTATGCTAAACTAAGAAAACCAACTGCTGCCAGATCATATTGGGCTGGTTATAAAATGCTTTTTCTGACTTGTCTAACTCTGGGGAATCTTAACAAGACACAGTTTTACTAAGTGGTGGAATATTCCTTTAAGTTAAAATGTATTTGTGGAAACCACAGTTTACAAGAAAAAACTTGAATGTTAGATTTATGCTGTGAATGAGTTTGTGTGTTCTGTTGTTTTTGAGATTGCTAAATAAATCTTATTTGCATTACTTGGAAACCCGAGTGAGTTATTGAGACAGTTCTTTGGTGTGTAAGAGAAATAAGTTTGCATCAAAAAGGCAGAGAATGAAGGGTTTAAGCTTAAGAAAATTTTTATTTCTTTTTTTGTGAGGGAGATTTATCGGCCATTATATCGGCTATCGGCCTTTGTTAAGGGTTTTAGATCGGTATCGGTCCCAAAAAGAGCATATCGGTTGGGCCCAGGTTGGTGCTTCTCAATCAATCGATCAAATTGTATTTGTATAGTGCTGTAGGGTTAGCAAATTGAGTGCTTTAAGAGCTCAAGATATATATTACCTCTACTTATGACCAATAAGCTGGGATACTCTACTTAAATATAGAATATCCACCCTGCTTGGTCTTTAAGGTGTTTAATCAGAAGATCTAGGATTCTTGCTTTATCAGGGGATGGTACACACTTCGTTTTGATTCAAGAGTCAGGCTTATAAAAGTAAGAATTTATTTTACAAACTATGAAAACATGACAAGTTAACTAAGCATTTACTGTGATGTATGAAACGTATGTGTCAATGCAATGTTAGTCGAACCTCCTTATCTAGGAGAGCTGAGTTCTGGATGTAAAAGAATTTGGTTTGTGTTAAGCTATGGAGTTGGTTATTATCAAGACACATCAGACGCTATCTGTCATGTCTACATACCCACTCCAAGACCCTCGTGATAGATCCGAAATGTCGAAGTCCTCGGACTTCCAGGCACCGAAGTCCGTAGAAGAAACTGCGGCACCACTAAACCGGTCTTAGAGTTGTCTTCAGGTCACAAGAGACGGATGGAACCGCGCGTCTGGGATTCGTAAGGAGTCTAACAATATCAGCTTGTTTTGCAGGAACTGTTTCTGTATCAGCTTCGCAGGTGCAAAAAGGTTTTGACGACGTGTCAAAATCTTTGATGGGTTAAAGTGGTGTTGCTTCAGATGGCCGGTCTGAAACTTTCTCTAGAACTGCCGAATCACCCAGAGTGACCCAGTTTTAAGGTTCTCATGTTACGATTTGCGCAGTCAACCAAAGGTTGACAGGTTTGAGAAATGTTTACCAAGAACCTCAGAAACACGCCTTCCTTGATATCAGATGCTCTGACTGGGGTAAAAGACTATTTATGTGTCATCAGTTTAACTTAACCTTACTTGTTGTTGTGTGAGTGCAAATGGTGTTGACCTTGCCATATAAACATGCTGAAACATTTTTCAATCACTGTAGTCATAACCATAACATTCATTTCACACTTCAATCATTGAGCACAGATTAATGAAGCATTTCATTATATTAAAATTATTATAAGTAGCAATAAACAAATGTTTATTTAATGATTATCTAGCTTGTAAGGTGTAGGAGTAGTTCATATTGATTTAGGAAATCATTCTTGATTTAGCAACTGATCTGAGCTGGAGTGTTCCTTATATGGAAGCATGAAGACCTGAAAGATTGGACCTTGGGGAGAGAAAGTTATTGTTGACATTTCGTTATCTGTTGCTAGAGCTACAGAGTCTCTGAGCTCCAGCTGGTATGAAGGTGGGCCAAATTAAAGGGAACACATGCAGTCTTGTGTCTCCTTTTTGACCAGATGTTGAATAATCGCGCCGCTGCGAACCGGTTCCGCTGTCACATTCCCGCAGAAACTGGTTGATCACACCGGGGCCAGACTACTAACATGTGGCTTTACAACCACAAATGTCCTCAGAAGCGAAAACGCTTTTAAAAGGGAGGGAGGAGTCCTAACTGTTGCTGCAGGTGTGTTGTGTGAGTGCAGTTATATACTGGTTAATATATTTTTGGGTTCAGTTGCTTTCATGTGGCCTAATGTGAGTCTATTTGGGATCACTGGAATGATCAGCAGCATTTCTTGATGTGACATTATGGCAGTTGCCCAGGGCATCATCGCAAGGAGGATGGCATTCATTTACTTTTGTTTTATTTGGTATTTTTTCAGTCATTTTTGGAAATAGTGATTAATTTTGATTAATTCACAGCCTATGTTTAATTACATTTAAAAATTAGTTGTTTGACATCCCCAATTATAATAAATGTCTACAGATGAGTTCAAACAAAACAGATGAGAATTGCCCTTAAAGAGCAAGTCACCCCCAAATAAACTTTTTTGCTGATAGACTAAATAAACGAGTGTCTAATCGTGCTGCAGACACGTGTCGTCAATAATTTGGCACTTCAGTGCATCTTAGTTAAAATTTAAATATTCTGCCTAAAACTGGCAGTGTTGTGCCGTTGTCAGGTAAAAACTCTGCACTGTATTTTAATTTAAATCTGCCACCGCTATTGGCTAAGAAGTATGCTATGATGTAAACTGGTACATTATGATGTCACAATGCTGTTTTGAGCCTGAGTGTGTGTGTATTTGTTAGCGGCTCTGCCCTCTCGGTCTGCCAGGCAACAGCATGTGTTGCATTTTTCAAACATGAAGTGGGAATGGAGTTAAGACTCTGGTAGGGGTTGACTTGCTCTTCAAGCTGTTTAACTTGGGCCAAGCATTTTAGGTCACGGATAGGTGTAGCTTAGGGTCTCTGTCTATACACCTTATAAGACAATTTAGGTGATGGCATGTTGTTTTTCTGCTATTGAACTGTTTTCTAATAATGTTGTGTTTAATAAAGTGAAGGAAGGAGAGAAATAACCTTTCCCTAGCAGTTTTTAAAAATTTCCCCATGTAATCCGATTAATCGTGTCGAGACCCCATCCGATTCATCGATTATCCAAATAATCATTTGTTGCAGCCCTAGTCGATGG